ATAGGCAAAGCCATATAACATAACACCAATCCTAGAATGCATTCAAGAAATTAAAACTTCAAAAACACAAGTCGATTGCCACTAGTCAAGATACAGAAAAATCCTTTAAGACCAACAAAAATGTTTGTTAATGACAAAATTCACTGCGATAGTTACCCCAAATTATGTTCTCTCACTCTAAACATACTGTGTTAATTGTACCCTTTGCTTTTTTATGATATACACTTATGCCCACATTCTCTTTTTGGAGAAGCTAAAATACTGTCAAAACCTCACATATACTACTTTCTCTTCTAAATAACTTTGAATATGTTAGAAAAGAAAATAGCTTCAAATTATTTTGCAAAGTAATTCAATGCCCAAATGGGAATATATTTTATAGATTATTTGCTTTATGATTTTCTGTTATTAACTATAATTGCACAGTAACTCAATGCCGAAATGGGAATACATTTATTTGCTCAGTGAGTTTCTGTTATTTATAATAATTGTTGCATTTTTAACCTCAGAAGTCATGGGAATTATCGGAAGCAATTCACAATTTTATCAATTTTACTTAAAGCCACTTGTTTAACATCTATGATTTACATAGTATTGAGGTAGTGTTGTAACTTCAAGTGCTTGTTGTCATTTACTACAACCTCCAAACACCAACCACCAAACACCATCTACCTTGTTGAATTTTTTACTATTTGATATTCTTCGATGATATGATTATGAAATAAAATGATTAAAAAAAAAACACCATCTACAAAAAGTTGGAGACTACAGTATAACAAATATTGATATTGTCTCTTTAATTCTCAAAAGCAACCCTTTAATCAGCTCAGGGTTTTTATTTCAAAATAATGACTCAAGTCTCATTACGAGCATTATGAGAGTATACCCACAGCGAAAATGCCAAGAGGGTTATGATTTCAAACTAAACATAAAATAGAAATGAGTGGAATCAGCAAGGAATAAAGTAAACAGACATGTAGTCAACACTCTAAATTGTATAGAAATCCAAGAAAATGGCAGTTTTCCTTAAGAGAAAGAAATGAAATGGTCATGACGGTGACAAAATTGGTAGGGGCGGTAATTGCTTTTTTATCTACAAAAGCAAAACAATATTTTATTGATAATATTTCGGAATAATGACTACAATAGGGATAATCAAACAAAATAAGTTTATTATAGACCTCAAGCACGATCTATATAACACAAAACAAAAACAAGAATCTGAGTTTATTGCAATGAGGGAAACCTATAAAGTTCTTTTTATATTTCTGGGGTTTCATTAGCAGCAGGTAACAGGCGATTTTCGCCGGTTGTTTTCACAAAATTGTCCGTTGTTTTTATTGACTTTATAACTTTTCCATGTTAAATTCATGATTTCCATTAATTTAGCCTGTTGTGAGAAATTCAAGTGAAACCCCTGTATTTACTGATCTTTAAGTGTTCCTCAATCAGTTTTAGTGAAATTGTTTATTTCATAGTCAAACTCAAACTTGTTTTATTCAGAGGCTAGGAATTCTCATTAACCTCAAGATTCCAGGGTAGTGCTTAACTTATCAAAAATTACAAAGTGAAATACCTAGAATACCAATCCAAGTTTTTTCAAGCTTAATAAGACAGAAATATTTCTGGGATGAAAGCTTAGATTACTGAAGTTGGTAGATACATGGATTTAACTTGACAGAATCTTAAAAATATGTGAAGAAAAGCACGTTCATGAGTCTTGGGAAAACAAAAATCCAGTTATGTATCTCATATACGTAACATATTATGTTATATCATGTTTTATACCATGTCTAAGATTATATTACTACATGCTTTAAAACTTATCTTCAGACATGAAAAGGTAAACTTTATGTTTAATCTTTTATTCATTTTTATTGTATTTTCTAACATATTTAAACATTTTGAAAACTTTTATGATGCTAAAGATTTCAAGATTCTTTCATTTGACAAGGTGGTTGGATCAAATAAGCCACTGAAGCAATTCCCCGTTAACTATTTCTAAAATTATTAAATGATTGCAATTCAATAGTTTTCTAAGGAAAAAAGCACTTTGAATCATGGCTTGCTTATGTCCTGTTTTTTAAATTAAAACTTTAAATGAGATTTCAAAGAAAACTACAAAAAAGCACTTCCAGTTTTGATTTACTGTAAATGTGTGAACTTACAACAACATGAAATAATCAAATTATTCTGTTATTCAAATCAAAAAGTACCAGGGGAATTAATTAGAGCTAAGTCCAGTTTACCCTTTTCAAAAGAGTGTCATTAAAGAGAAGCTTATCCATACTTATTCCGACTTCACTCAGTGAGAATGCGGATTGAAAGTTAAAGAAATATTTTTGTTATCTTAATGACACATTTTTTCTTGAGTCATGAGATTTTATACATGGTTTTTTTTTTTTTATTCCACCTTTAACTGATGAATATTAGAATATCATTTGATCTTTTTTAAGCCAATCAGAATAGGCCAAAATCAAATCGAACTACCCAATCAAAACGTTTTATGTCGTAAATGGCAATTTCAGCTACTTTTAGGGACAATAGAGCTTATCAGCATACTGTAAAATTGTCAAGGTAACATTCGCAAATTCAACCATCGGCTGGTGGTTTGACCTCTATTTTATGGCCAACCCATTTACATATGAATGAGTACCTACCACTATTCATATTCATATTTAAATGAGTTCGTCATAAAATAGAGTTCAAACATCAGTTGGCAGTTGAATTTGCGAATGCCAGCTTATGCCTCATTCAGTACACATTTGATCTATGGCAACTGTACGGCGACCGTAGCTTCGCAAAATTGAGAGAAATATGCAACATAAAATATAAGGATAAGCAGTACAGTGTAGATTGCTTGTCGATTTTATGAAGCTAGGGCCACCATACAGCCGCCATAAAGCAAATGTTACTGAGGGTACTAATTATTGCATTAGATGACTTCTCAGGGTAATCAAAAGGCACCAGGGGGATTTGCAACTGAATTCAGAAACCAACATTACTGCTAATTAAAATATTCAGGTACTTAAAAAGTAAACCCTTTGAGGCTGTTAAGTAGAAAATGTTGTTTTACCAGCTTTTAATCATTGTGAATTCTAGAGGGAGAAATAATGATGTATTTAATGGAAAAGGTCTCCATGAGGGATAATTGCAAGTTGACAATTTATGTTATTACCATAAATAAAGCACTGGGGGTCTACCATGATGATTCCGGGAATCCATACCTAATATGGTCAAAGCTAAATTAGAGACTGAAATTTCCCATCATGGGAAACTACAGTCTTCTATTAATTCCTTTCTAAAGCTAGGTTGAAAAAACAGAAATTGGAACAGGCTTTTTGGGCTCATCTTTCAATACCGTGTCCATGATTTTTGGCATTTATTTTTAAATCAAGTTTTGTATTTGGTATGAGGGGTGATATTTTGCTGTAAAACTATGTTTTCCCACCATGTATCCATGCTGTGCCCTGCCATCTGTCCCAAAGTATTCACACTATGGCGAACGTCGACTCACTCTGCCTAATATGACAGCTCAGGCTCTTAGCCAGGATTTGCCAAGGGGGAGGTTCAGTTTTCAAAAATTTCCAGGGGGGGGGACACATTAGACAATTTTGGCCCAAATATGGCTAAAATCACTTGAGAAGTGCTAAAAATGGTGAAAAAGTGCATGATTTTGAAAGAATTTTTGTCCCATAAGAGTTTTTGACCACTGTCCTTTTGGTGAGGCAGGGATGTAGCTATGATCTTCGACATGTTTTCAGTTTCAGAAAAAAACATAAAAAAGACGTTTTCAGTGATATGTTTCTGAAAAACAATCCTCTAGAAATATCTTTTTTTGGTGAGACAATTGCCTAAATGGCTTCAGTGCCAACTTCACCCCCCCCCCCCCCCCCCATTCCCAGTCTGCTATTTAAGTAAAGCACAATATATCAATACAATGAATGGATAATAAAGGCTCAAATTCAGTATTATTGTAACTTAAAGTGGATTTAAATTGTATGAAAACACATCTATGCCAAATCCACTTAGCTATAATAACAACATGTTATAACAGTAGCATTAACAGTTAAGGCCACTTTAAGTTAAATATATGTTTAATGTCCCATTAATCTTAAAATTCTAAAAACTAACAAGATGTAATGAGCCCAGATATATTTAGGATTCTGACTTCTGGATAATAAATTTTGCAAAAGTTTGCAACATATTCGTAGCTGACATTTAGGACATGAAATGCCGAAAGGTGATTTGCTGCATGATTATGTTATATGTCATGAGAAATATTGTAATGAAATAAACCTATTGTGGGGAAAGTGAACATCTAATTCAATTGGTCTTTCAACCAAGTTAGAATTATCCCTAGTACGCCACTTAAAGAAAAATTTCATTTTGTATTCATTACCAAGATTTAGAAGAGTGTTATATTGATAATGTTTCTCAAGCTAAATCTTATTAAATAAATAAATTCCTGATCTCACTTGAAAACAACTTGATGTAGGATTATGGGATAAGTATACCTATATTTATATTGTGTGTAATTGAGTGTTCTAAATACCCAAAATAACAAAAACACTTTATTTTCTTGAACAGCTGGTAGGAGTTTAATATCAGTGATCCCCACAGGATTTTTTCTCAAGAGAGTGCAAAATTCTCATTTCACAAATTCAGACCAAAATTGGTCAAAATATGCCTATTTTTCATGATTTTTCTCATTTTCAAGTGGGTGCAAATGGATTTTCAGGTGGGTGCAAGCCTATTTTCAAAATATCAGGTGGGTACTGCGCCCACTTGCTTTAATGCTGGGGAGATCACTGAATATGATGATAAGTAACACCTTTATAATTGAAACACCTGTAAAGCAGGAGCACCTTTGTAAAAAGAACACTTTTCAACGTTTCATGATCCATTGACTTTTAAAATGTTAATCACCTGTATAGAATACCTACTTTGTTGAACACTTTTCTGCTGAACCAATTATTTAAGTCAGATTAAAAACTTACCAGATAATCATTAGAAAACTTCTCATCATCTGGCAGCTCCAAAATCTGTAAAAACATAAAAATAAATTCAAAAATTAACATATTTTTCTGAGTTTTGCCCAAAGATTTTGCTCTCGAGTGTATATTTCTGACCCAATATACACTCCCCTCCATGAATTTGGTAACTATCAGTCTTTATTTGAGAGTGTGTTAAAGCCTACTAATATGTGAATCTTCATTTCGTTCATTCAGAAGTTTCACAAGAACCTCTCACAACAGGCTAAATAAATGAAAAGAACAGGGAATATTAATGGCAATCATAAATTTAACATTGAAAAGTGCCTAAAAACAACTGGCGATTTTGTGAAAACAACCGGTGAAAATTGCCTGCTGCTAATGAAACCCCTAGCATTTATTACAAAGATTGGAAATTCATGACAAGTTTGATGAATTTTGAAAAATTGCCAAACATGAACAGACTTTCATAAGTGATTCAAAAAGGGACTTCTGATTGCTAAACTTTTGAATAGGAGTGTATATTTCACCCAATAGACATATTTCATAATTTGAATATTTCCCAATGTACATATTACTTAGAGGATGGGGGTACAAAAGGGCTTGATTTACAAATTAAAGTTACCCCTTGATGTATTTCAAACATGAGGATAAGCCCAGCTGGTCACTGTTGAGGTATACAGTAAATACAGTCTACCTCTGCAGGAGTCAGTACTTATATACTATATACATGTATCATTACAACCTTCCCTGTTGTGCAATTTCCAATTTTGACAATTCTGAACCATTTATTAGCCTGGCTGGAGTTTGGAATGTAACTCCATTTATCAAATATTTTAGTTTCAAAATGTTGAGTTCAAACCTTGGAAATCAAAATTGCCAAATGAGACAGGCACACATATTATCATTGGTAAAGATTTTGAGAGAAAATGAGGAGTTTAAGCTTGCCATGTTTTTATAACCTAAACGTGAACGGAAAATATTTAAGAGATATGCCTTTAAAGGGCGATTGGTCATACGTATAGGTTGGCTTTTCGATGCAGACATAAACTCCCTATTATCTAAACATTGAGTGGACATAATATACAGAGTCCCTTGCTCACAATGTGTTCAATTCATTTGAGGTCCTTAAGCAGTGTAGATACATCCCCATAAAGACATTAAATAATCATATTTCTTCTCTGGCTAAAATCTCTTTTCTCCATCCTAGCTAAAATTAATGACGCTGTCACTATATCTTGAACTGTTGATACAGGGCATTCTTTCCTCAATTGTGAAATATGCTTTTTTCCTTGTAACTAACTGGTGTCTCATAACAATATGCCAGAATTCTAAGCAATTCTTTTATCTACAGTTATCTGAAATGTGTGATATACAGTAAAACCTTATCCGAACATCTCACTAGTCTAAACACCTCTCGATATGAACATTTTGCCACTTGTAATCTGCCCATTGCTTCCATGTTTAAAACCTCGAAATGGGAACACTCGCTATTTGGAACATTTTTGGCCAGTCCCAGTGGTGATCTGATTAGACAAGTTTTACTACATTCTGTATGTTCTTAACTTTAATGAATGTATATACAGGGTGTCAAATAAATATGTTCTCCCCCTCAATTTCAAGAGAATGAACTTTTGTGCATAAAAGTGCATCTAGTTGCACTAGTCATGCATCTGAAACTGCTTTTGGAGTTGCTCTGTGAAGCCTAGTTTAGATGTGATAATGGCAATCCAGATATCATATAGAGAAAAAAGTTATGCAACATTATGTGGATGTTAAAGGTAAGGAGGGGAGAACATATTTATTTGACACCCTGTACATGTATTTCTATATCTGAGTCTTCATTGTATATGAACAAACTATACATTTAGAGTAAGTGCTAAAACTAAATATCAATGACACATTCACATGTAACTAAACTTTTCATTTTGTATAAATAAGAGTGCAGACTAAACATATCATTTGAGGTTAATATGTCCTTGAATATTTCTCTAGCATAGAATACGATTAACAAGCTTGGTAGTACTTTAAAACCTCTAAAGTGGAACACCTTTATATACAGTGGAATACCTCCATTAGTTGAACACTTTTCAAAGTCCACCGAATGAACTTCTGTTAAAGGAACAGCTCCAAGTGAAACACTTTTTAGAGGTACTACCAAAGGTGTTCCACTTATACAATATACAAGCTTTACTGCAAAATGCTTTATAAAAATTAATAAGTACTGTACAATTGTCTCTCTGATGGAAAAAATAATCAGGGATAAGAACTTAATAATCGCAAAATTATAGTGTTAATAGTTTCAGCTGGTGCAATATTAACCATTTTGTCAATGAAATTGATGTCAAACGGTTATTTACTCAAAAGCCTTATCAGGTGCCTGTACGTATTCCCTTGCAAATTTTTTGACTAATTTTTGACCTTAAATGTATGATCAATATAAGAAGTTGAGAATTGGGTTTGTTATACGGTCAACATGTGCGGCCAAGAGCTTGGCAAATAACAGGCATTAATTGTGGCTTTCTTTAATCATTAGTCTACTAACAAGGCCACCATTTATACTAAATCATCTACATAACACTAGTATAATAACAGTACAGTAAAAGATAACAAATTTTCCCAAACTGCCGGCTACTTGTTTTGAAATTCAACAGACAATTATCTGAAACCTATATTTCATGACTTCAGAAAAGAAATTGAGACCTTTGTTTATGACATCAGAAAAAATAATGTCAAGATCAATACTGACATGTACATATCTTTACATAACAGCACTTATGCTCCTACATCTTTAGGCCTACTTAACACGATCCTTAGATTTCAACACTATGATACCTCAACGTTTACAACAAAATTTTATGATGACCTCATGAAAAGTTAATTTTCTCAATCATTCTTTGACAATTCTAAAGAATACATATTGCAATTGTGGTTGTTCATTTCACAATATTTCAGTTCACTCATATAATATACATGAATCATATGAACAAAACATGAACAGTATAACATGTCTGATCCAAATGCCATTTAGACTCTCACCCAAAAGTGTTCAAATTGGCAGGTGTTCACTGTTCACATTCCAACTTTTTTATATGACAGTTTATGGCATATTAAAAAAAAGGAACTGACAAGACGTGTTTACATTGAGAGGTGCTAAGATTAGAGATGTTTGAATATACAGGTTTTACTGTATAATATACTGCAGAATTGACAAAGGAATTATTTGGATAATGTCAACAATTGGATTATACTATCTTAATCATTACCATCTATTTCTGCTGTTATATTGTAATTCCCTGGAGATCTAATAGTTATAACAGAGTTGTATGACTTATAACTCTCGTATATTGGGGTCTATCAAGATAAAGTGTTAAAGCTAAATCAAAACATACAAGAGGTTCTATTGCATAAGGTATAAAAACCTCCATATATTTTAGAAGACATAGATATTCAGGTCTCAAAAACATAAGGTATGTGAGCTTCTCAAATATAAGGTATGAAAGCTTCCATTATATAAGTTATAAGAGCCTCACCTCAAAACATAAGGTATAATGACTGAAAATGTCATCCCCTTAAGGCGAAGCTATATTAAATAAAAAGTACAAAAAATAATTGCCATATTTTTTTGATAAAGACACATGTTTTTAAAATCTGTTTACCTTGTATATGAATTGTATATCTTGACTAATGAAACATGTCAAAGTTAACATCACACATAAACGCATTTTTCCAAACTATGAATTGGAGGTGCATGGATCCCAAAGCTAGCATGAAGAGTGCGAAGTGAGGCTAATTTTTGAAAGTTTCAAGGAGTAGCCTTGCAACAATCACACATTTGCAAGAGTCTAAAATTTCCACAAATCATCTTACCTTTCCCAGGAACAACGAAGGAGCATGAAAATGTGCACTTCTTGCATTGTTAGAGTATAATAAAGCTCAAACCATTGTAAATTCTAAATATTCCATGTCCACCATTTTGTTTGCTGGAACTACTTCTAGACTTCCTGATTAATCCTCATACAAGTTTTGTGACTACACCAAGTGGCATGGATAATCACTTGTATATTTTATCTATTACAGTATAATTATCATGATAGATACATGATAGAGGCTTTATGAATGATAAACAATGGAAACATGAATGAGGATAACTCTGGACTAAAAAAATAGTTCCAGGAAACAAAATGTTGGACATGAAATATTTAGAATTCACAATGGTTTGAGCTTTATTATACTCTAACAATGCAAGAAGTACACATTTTCATGCTCCTTCATTGTTCCATGGTAAGGTAAGATTATATCTGGAAATTTTGAATTCTTGCAAATGTGTGACTGTTGCAAGGCTACTCCTTGAAACTTTCAAAAATAGCCTTACTTCGCACTCTTCATGCTAGCTATGGGGAGCCATACACCTCAAAATCATAGTTTTGAAAAATGCGTTTAAATGTGAGGATTTCTTTTATGTGTCTCTTTAGTCAGGAAATGCATTCACGTACAAGGAAAACAGTATACAAAATCTTCTGACTTTATTAAAAAAATATGGCTCCCATGTTTTTGTACTTTTGATTAACTTAAATGTCACCTTAAGAGGTACATTTTAAAGATTTCAACATCAATGTCTTAAGGTAGAAGAGAAAATAACATATAAGAAGATTACCCATTCTGATGAACCCCCTCCCCTGTAAAACCTGCCTATTTATAGTTCATATATATTTTTGAAATTGCTCTGTCATGATCATGGGCGTAGCGCTATATTTCTAAGTAGTACGCCACCGCGGGAACAAGAGTTGAGCGAAGCAAAAAACGAGAATTCAGGGGAGTCTGGGGGTTCTCACCCAGGACAATTTTGAAATTTGGTTGTATTTGCAGCGAATTTGCAACCATCTGGTATGCCTGCGTGTACCCAGTGTACCAGGCGCTACGCCTATGATGATATTATATAAAAAATCAAATTGGTTACTCTAGCGCCGATACGTGTAAAAAGCATCATTTACCTGCATTGGCCCTCCTTGGAAATTTTGCTTGTAGCGATATATTTCTCTTTTTTCGTCCAACTCTTTCTTGCGTTGTTCTGGATATTCATCTTGCTGTGGTAGAGACGTATCCAGATGTTGTATAGTATAATGTTGATCTGCTTTTATCCATCGTAAAACTGGGAAATAACTGTATTTGTCATTTCGGGTGTCGTAAACTACAAACCTGTCAACGAACCAATCGGGTTCAACTCCTGCATTGTCTCGCCAAAATTCAATTTTATTTATCCAGCCAAATTTGGCAATTCTTGGCACTTGGAAACTGTCAGTTTTACCCTTTTCAAAGTTATTTTTGTAATAACAATTTAGGGGAATTTCAGGTGATATTTGACCTTTATCATCAAAAAGTTTTATTTTTACGTTAGCATCTGTCCCGGCGCCTTTTCTGTCCCCAGTGATGACAAATACGGTATGATCGGACGGTCCATAAACACAATTCCCCATAGCTCTTGTTTGATCGAATCGAACAAACGATTTTACCTATTTTTGAGACATAAACCTACTTTTATACTAAACTTTGAAAACTTTCGTCCAATGCGGAAGCGAGATCCCTAATGACCTAAATTGGGGAGCATCGAGTATTTATCAACCAGCGGCGCAAGCAATATTAGGCCATTCAAATTAATTAGGCTTAGGCGTTTAACGTCCTATTTGGAATCTTCTTTTTAGATGCGATTGTACTTGTTTCAGTATTTGGAGGTTCATTTTCATAATCAAAATTGAACTTGTCTCATGATTTTTTAAAGGAGTTTAACACAGGCCCAGGAAGAAGATTTAACTCCCATTAATATGCAAGCCAATATTCTACATATTGGTTAGTGGGAAGGGGATGGGGGGGGGGGGAAATCTTCTTCTCGGGCCTGTGGAGTTTAATTGTAATAGTAAATACACCGTTGAAACACTGAATTTACTTGGTGACATCTGAGGGGCATCTTAGGGACTAGGTGACATTGACATTCGCTTTGTTATTCACTCAATATAATTCAGGAGTAGAATCATTGCAGAGTTAATCTCCGTTTTCCAACGATTATAGTTAATCTGTGCATTAGCACCCAGTGACATGTCTGACATTGGAGATTCATGTGATATTTTTCAAAAAATCGTTTATAAGGCTCATTGGCTAATTCGTTTATCAGCCGTTTATAAATATCGTACGTATTGTTAAACGAATTTGAAGCTTTTGATTTTTGTTTATTTTTTTTTACATTAAAATGGGTTTTCAAGAAAAAGATCATGATTGTAATCATGAGATAACCTAATATGATATCATCCCTAGTAGTGGTATCGTGATCCGATATTCTGTATGTATAACTATCATAAGAACGTCCAGTCAGTTTAAAACTGAAAATGTTTTTCAAACTTCAAGCGTCCGTTGAACTTCTTGAAGTGTCTTATATATATTCAAACTCTTAAAACACATTTGATCAGTCAGTAACAAAAATATAACCAGGGCGATTAACAGTCGTACATTCGTAGAATAGGCCTAGTTCGAAGTGTTCTTTGTTTTTTTGAAAATAAAATCCTAGGCGTTAAATGAATATTAACTTTGAATGGCCTAAATACAAAACACAATTTCCGATCAGCTGATTTATTAAGACGTTTGAAACTGTTGACAAAATGTTGAATCATTCAATATTTGAATTGAATCATGATTCATTCCTTTTTAAATTCTTGACATTGTACAATGCAAACATTTGGCCCTGCCCACCTTGAATTTGCCGACAAACTTCCGACAAAATACAGGGTGACCGGAAAAAAAAGGAGACCATTGAAGTAATCAATTTCTCCTAAACTAGACAAGTGCCATCAATGAAATTTTGCATACACTGGAACAGTTATATGGAAATTTGTTACTGAAGGTTTCAATACAAGCATTCAACTGGTTCAGGAGCTATGATCATTTACATAACATGCTCCAAATAGGCACAATTGAGACCAACGCAGAGTTGGATTCATATGGCAAACTACCCTTACATGTTCTGCCCTCTATGGCATTATTATGGCATTACATATAGCAGTGATTGCCTTCTTTAGGTCAACAATAGTCTGAGGATTGTTTTGGTATAGATTGTCTTTCAAATATCCATACAAAAAGAAATCAGCAGGATTCAAGTCTAGGCTGTAATGGCAATGAAGGGTTATCTGACATGTGGTTCATCATCCTGTTGCCAAAGTGCTGATTTACCAAATCTTAAGAGTCACTTTAGGTATTGGGCATAGTGCCATGTTACTAAAACCACTATATGGCACAATTAAATCCCATATGAAAACCAAGGGCTGCCCAAAACCTCCTTAGGATGATACTGTAACTGAGTGGGACCACTGAGTCAGAAGCCATAGGTCAGATAAGCTTCGTCTCCATACACCTCAAATTTGAATCCACCTGATTTCTTTTTGTGGGGCAATTTGAAAGACAATGTGTACCAAAACAATCCTGAGACAATTGCTGACCTAAAGGTGGCAATAAATGCTAAATGTAATGCCATAACAAGGTCGGAATATGTAAGGGTATCTGCCAAATGTATCCAGCTCTGCGTTGGTCTCAATTGCGCCTATTTGGAGCATGTTATGTAAATGATCATAGCTCCTGAACCAGTTGACTGCTTGTATTGACACTTTCAGGAACAAATTTCCATAGAACTGTCCTGATGTATGCAAAATTTCATTGATGTCACTAGTCTATTTTAGGAGATATTGCCTATTTCAATGGTCTCCTTTTTTCCGGTCACCCTGTAGTACTTAGCATAGTGAAAATAGAAGTACGAATGCGAAAATTCCCCCAAAAATATATTTTTGCTAAGGCTTTTAGTGAAAGAATATTGCAGCTATTCTACTATTTCTGTCACTTCTATTTCTCTTTGTCTTTTAACATTGGAATAGTTTTTTCGGGGGAGGGTTAACCTACATGTATAACGTACATAAGGGTTATGTACTGGGAGGTTTTGGATATGGGGTTTATCCAGAGGGAGATATGCATATTTACCTGAGGGACCGCAGGGACCGAAGGTAAATGTGCATACCTCACGAGGTATGAACCCATATCCAAACCAACCGTACATAACTGCTTTATTCTATAACCAGTAGAGTTTTCTTTTTTTAAATTTTATCAAATTTTTTCAAAATTTATTTTCAAAAATTATTTTTTTCAAATTTTTTTTCAAAGCGGGAAGATATTGCGGGAGATGGAGGTTCTGGATATGGAAACCTCAAAATCAGGATATCGTATAAACTTATTTCCCTAAAACTCTACTGGTAGGATAAAGCCATGTATCTGTTCAAATCGTGTATGTCTCGTTTTGAAACAATGATCATATCACCATAGCAGTGTGATGTCATATTCGTCACAATCATAGAAAATGTGTCTCGTAACCACGGCAACCAACTTTTCAGCTAATATAGCTGGGGTAGTTGTGCCAGGACACTCAAATCCATTCGGCCATATTAGCCATCAATTCAGTGCAACGGAACTTAATCAGCGAAGATGTTTGCAACTCAAAGATACTGACCAGCAACCAAACAATCACTAGCGATTGGGTCGGGCCTGGAACCTCTATGCATAGTAAAGTGACTGTGGAAAATGAAATACACGAACCGCCTCATTGCATCTGGCGGAGTTTAAAGGTCAACTGGAGGTCAAGGTCACCCAGGGGTGATCTACACGTCAATCACTATGAATGTGTTTTCCCATATGGACGCGAAATTCTTTAGGAAATTAGACAGGTGTGATATCAACTTAGCATGGTCTTTGGCGAGGTCCCACATCGGAAAACATTTATTTGGTAGGTGACTGTTGGATCCGATTGATAATATTTACCAAAATTATAGGGATCAGGGGATGCCGCTGAGATTCAAAATATCTACCCATATCTATAGGGATTTTTCTTCCCTAAAAATGGACCCACACTAGTAGGAGTTTTCTTTCAAAAATAAGGGATTTTCGGTAAAAGCGACCCAATTTAAAAGAAACTGATATTTCGTTCGATCCCTTAAAATCACTAATTGCACTCTTAAATGAAAGAATCGTCACTTCGAGGTTTCGACATTTTGTTACCCGCTTCGGTAACTAGTTTGAAGAGCGCAATACCAGTGATTATAAGGGACCGAAACATCAGTTCATTTTCCCGGACGTTCGGAGGATGATACGGTAACTGTCTAGTTTTCTAAATCTATAGTCAACTCAAGGGTAACTAAACCGCTTTCCATCGGAAAACGAGTTTCAGTAATTAGTTTAAAGAGTGATACCAGCGAGAATGTCATTTGTACGTGCGCGTGCAATGATATGGACCTGTGGACCGGGATAATTTTAAAATAAAAGGTGGCGAAGATGATCATCGATGATCATTCGTTACTGCAAACAATTTCTGCCACTGGATAGTCCCGAAAAGAGAAGCCAGGGGACGGGGTAAGACGTATCTTCATTCAAAATGTTTTCAGTCGCTCTAACTGTTAAACTATATATCTGCTTTAAATGGGCTTATTAGCCTTTTGCGGATTATTGATGTAGATGTAGATGTAGAACTTCATAGCCACCTTATTGGGGGATCTTAAAGCTAACAAGGGGGGGGGGACACAAGTCAGAAAAAATATTTAGGAAATTTGAGGCCCATTTGTGATAATTGGGCCTGCAATTAAAAGATTAGGCCCAAAAAGGCCAAGTGAAAAGGCCCATTAATTTGGGTCGGGTGCAATGCCTCTCAGATCCGCCAGTGAGTGAGTCAAGACAGCCGATGATCTTCAAGATATCCTATATTTTGTTTTTGGAAATAAAAAAACAGTAATGATTTAACATTTATTTGAAATGTATATAATTGTGGTAACCTATTATATTCAAGATGGTATTCTAAAAGGTATTTTTATTGATATAGGCCTACAAGTTTTCTGGATTAGATATGTAATCAGTTCTGCCAACGAGGTAGTTCACATGGTTTACATTTTGTCAGTATCATTCCTTGTATATATTTATTTTATATATTTCAGTGTATTTACGCCAGTTTCACATACTTTACCATGGGTGTTACTAGGAATTGATGGTCTACTAAGGCAGACCACTGGTCTCACTTTCTCAAATTTCTTCTGTTGGTTCGCAAAAGTTTGGTCAGTTGCGCATGTTGAGGTATTCTGATCGCCTTGTTTGCATGATGCTTCAAATACTCGAATATGTCGCCTACCAGGAACCTCATATACGTTACTAGTAATGTGCCCTGGGTCAATTATGCGATTCTGTTCATTGCTATGGCATCGTCTCAGGTTTTCATTCTGCCCTGTATGGTTAAGCTTCCTTGACATCAATTTCTGCTCGGCAACGTTGCTCGGCATCTCATTCTGTGTAAACGCATTAGAACGTATTTCACCCAAGTGTGGATCAAAGGGTAAGGCACCACGGCGTATTATTCGTGTATCAGCGATTAATTCCCTATATTGACTGATCAACCTTGACATATCGATGCGTTCATGGAGATTGTACTTAAACGGAACATATTGGTGGTGGCCTCTCTTTCCGGTGGAAGACTTGCGTAATGTTGTCCCAGCATTCCACTGACTTGGCTTGTCCGTTTGGGTACTCGCATGATTTGATCTTGAAATCTTCGGTCTATTTCTTTCATGGCTTCCTTTGGGATCCGTACCCATAGAGGACCGACGCAATGTAGACGACCAAGCATCTAATTGACTTGCTGTGCTCGCGGGATTTTTGTTTGCAATTTTGGGTCTATTTCTTTCAGGAATTCCTTTGGGGCGATTCATACGCATAGTTTTGTTAGAGTCCAGAATTCTTTTAGTGTCCGAACTAGAGCAGCTCTGAGTTGTATTGGTGTGCGGGCGACAACCACTCACTCGATACACATCAGAATTAATCACGTTGATGACATATGAGCTGATGTCTTGGTGAAGTAATCCGCACGTTGTCCAACCTTGTAACTCGGCATCGGAGTGTTTGGTTGATGGCATTTTGAGACGGCTGCAAAGGTTCATCATCAGGTTCAAATCTTTGATTCTTGAATTTGGGTTTATGTCAGTTGTCCCATCAAGTTCTGAGTCAAAAGTGACAACGGTGGAATCGTTAGGACCTCCACGCTCAACATCTTCTGCATAAACTAGAGCGTTCCCAGCATTTTTCTCACGTGATCCATTATGTAGACATGAACGATCACGATTGAGTTGATGAAGCCTTAGATGATCTCTATGGTGATCCGAATACGTCATTACTTCCACGACAATGTCAGCCGGGTGTGAATCTGAATTCGCTATCAGGAACAGCTTCGTCTACAGTCCTACATCTTGTATGCTTTCAAAAGTCTCATCTTTATGGTGATTGTGCTCGTTCCTGGAAATTCTTAGATTGATTGTAATTTGTGGTTGTGACGTTCTTCGGTTTGTTGTTTTTAGAACTCATGAAGCATTTAATTAATGGTGCGTGATGGAACCTGTCCACGGTATAATAATTTAGTATTGCATGAGACAATGGCGGTTCCAGGGGTTCCATCCCCTAGGATTGGCCTAGAGAAATCTTTATGGGTCCAAAAATATTTTAGGGCCTTAATCTGTGGGTCTTTTTAGGCATTACTTGGCCTATTTGGGTCTTATTTTTTAAATTAAAGCCAAATCATAAAAAATATTTTAGCCCAATTTTTAGCTTTCAGATCCGCCACTGTGAAACGCCCGAGGATTTTGCCACATGAGACATGGTGCCCACTCCAAGGGTCACGTGGTATTGTGTCACATGGTGTAGGATGCAAATCATCTATACGCCTAGTATGATGACTGGGTCCTCGTAGAAATTCATAAAAACGCCTTGACTTTTCCACGGACCGTTTTGGAATCCATTTGACTCCAGGGGTTATGTGGACTTTGCCCAATCATCATCTATGGAGCTTGGGCTTCTGTATATATGTGTATGTCCTGATCACCTCAATGTGAATGTCAAAACGCGGTGCATTTATCATGCAATTTGTTTCCATCATGTGAAGTCGTATATGTGAACGTAGGCCTATTCGCCCCAGCCTACTTGGCGGGCAACTTCGATTTTCAACAATATTTACTGAAGTTAGAACAACCATGGACTTCTAATCACTGGACTGCAAACGTCACAGTCTTGAAAACATATGTGTGTTATGGTCACGTGATAATCCAAATCGAGATCGAAACCAATTTTTCAAAAGGTATTCCTCAATTACGTCATTATATGAGCAAACTGTCACGCGCAAAGGAAAAATACAATTATCGAATTACGTCACAAACTAGAATTCGATAAAAAGTCGAGATGGTCTTCAGCGCATTGTCATGGGAACAGAAACAAACAAACACAGATCCTGGAGTTTCATTTTTCATAATCTTAATTTATGATTGCAAACACTGATCCGCGGGAGTTTATAATTGCAAAGGTATGTTGGCTTGTGCCCGATGTAGAAGTAATGTAGGTCCCCCCAAAATAATGTCCCCGGACCATTTTCACTAAGGAATTTTGGTCCCTGGACCATTTACACTAGGGAAATTGGCCCGCCGGACATCTAACATTTTTAAAGCGCATAAAAGTACACAATAGATCGCAATAGATCGAAGTCAAATAATTTTTAGTTCATATCCATAAATTATATTAAAATAAATACATTCACGTCACGTAATATATATATCTCAGTTTCTCTATTTCATTTACACGTCCAGCAATAAATATATATAACAAATACAGGAAGTTTGACGTAAGATTTTATCGGTATTTGGTCTATCCGAGATAATAATTAGGAGCCATAAGACCATCCTCCGAACGCAGGGTTCCAGACATCATCTAGTGCTAAGTTCAGTTCCTTCCTTCTTCTGGAAGGAGGTACGAGTTCCGGACGGCTGTGTTTGGAGGATGCCATAAGACACATCAAAACGTTAGTGTATAAGGGAAAAATATCAATTCAAGAGCAGAACGTTTAAAAAAACGTTTACGCCTTTAATTTTTTCAGTAACTTCGTACCAGATCACAATAGATGATTTTTGACGAATTCGTACGGAAGCACGGTTGACATTCTTATTGCAAGTGCTGCACAGAAAATGCAACTTTGTCCGCAAAAATACTTCAACCTCTTTTATTTAGATCAATTTGACTAATATTCTGATGTTAAAAGGTTAAAAGAAGGCGGAATACGCTTTTCACTGTATGATGATGAATATGTAGTTAACTTTTCAAATAATAACATGCTTTGTTTTGCCCGTCTTCAAAAATCTCGTCATCTATTAAAAAATCTATAAGTTACAGTAATTTTAGTAAATATGAAGGAGATTGAAGATCACAAACTAACATTATCAATAGTGTGTTGAATGTGTGACAAGCTGTAAAAAAATCAACGGAAAATGCACATATTAGGGAGTTTAAGCGTGCACTGTTTTTCACAACCTAAACGCAAATGTAAGTTATTTGAGCGATGCAATTGTATGGGCGATTCGTCATACGTGTATATCCCTGCTTCGATTTTATAGTATGTGCAAGCTTAATCTCCCTAATATTTCCATTCTATGGAATTTTATCACTTCTATTATTCGTTATCAATGTTATCTGGGTTATATTTCCCAAACCCTGGACGTGTGATTGAAATCTTTTTATTCCAAGCACCTAATGAACGATCATGAAGTTTATCTGTTAGTAGCCAATTAACATACTAGTACAACGCGGAGTACGTATTCTAGGACAAAAATTCAATCAAAACAAACATACAGAATAAAATAAATGCATATGATTTTCTCAATAACCCGCTTTAGCTAAAGTCATATACAATAACATACATGACATAAGCAACAATTTGATCGTAAAATTACAGAAAGTGATAACTGTATCCACATTGTATCACCTGGAGCCCTCTGGGAGTTGACTGGGTAGCAATCAAATGCTTCTAATGTCACAAAATAGATTGGACGGGGAAAAAAGATTTACGTTCTTTTAGTAAGAGGATCTGGGAGGAATATTCAATTCAATTTATTCCATAATTCTTATATTACAAAAACCATTAAACCAACTGAAGGAATATTATGAAAATGTTAAATATAAATTGTGCTTTTACAGTATAGGCCTATCTTGTCATTTGAAAAAGGTGGTAAAGGTTATATCTACCCCAAACCCACTCAAGTATGAGATACACCAGTTATGCACGGTCGGTTTTTGGATACCCTGCGGTCCCTCGTGAGATACACATATTTCCCTGTATCCAAAACCTCCCAGTACATAACCCTTATTTATACAACCACTGAGTAGGAATGGATGAAAATGTCAAATACAGTTAAAACATGAACACTTCTAGTCTGAACACCTCTCAATAAGAACATTTTTTCTCTGTCCAAAATGTATTTTGCATTATCAACTTATATGGTCATAGAAGTGAACATACCTACTTATCAAATCACTTTTTAAGGTCCCAGATGCATTTGGATTAGACAGGTTCCACTTACCATTTAGTGTGATATATTAATCAATGGTTAAGAAACATTTTTGAAAAAATTGCTATACCTGCATGTGTTATTAGAAATAGGTAATTTTCAATCTCCTGAAAAAAGGAAGGAAATACATACATGTCTTTATACTTTATTTTGTACCAGAAAATAACATGGGCAATCTTTTTCAAAAAGGTTTTCTTGAACCATCACTTAAATACTGATTCAGCAGTAAACAACATCCAAGTATTGTTTAACATGTGCAACTGTACATCATTAAGCCATCAAAAATACAGGGTGTCAAAAAAGTGTTGTCCCCCTCAATACCCAAAACCAAGATATATGGTACAAATTGTGATATATCATTGGAAAGGTCTTCCAAAGTTACATTCATTGATTGATTGACGTATATCTGACACAATTCAAATCTCAAAATTCCTAACAGTGTATCAATTGAGGTGACCATAGGCTTAGAAATATGGCAACTTGGTATATTTGGCAGGATTTTGAGAATCATATGTAAGAAAAGTCAAAGGACCTAAAGATGACAACTATGGCAATGTATTAAACCAATTTCTGGACAGGATAACTTTTTGATATAATTCTGAGGTCATATCCTTCTCATTTTGCACCAATGGAAGCTGCTTAAGGAGGGTACACTAACTATAAAGGACATAATGAAAATATAAGTGAATTTTAACTAAATACTTGACAGTTGGTGATTTAACATACCCTTGGAAGATCTTTACAATGGTATATCACACTAGATAGTAGATACCATCTATTTAGGATTTACCTGTAGCAGGGGGGACTTATTTGACATCATGTAGTATAAGGCTTGTTTTTGTTAACAATTAATGCTTGTAAATTGTTGCACCAATTTAAATAATAAAGATCCAAATTCTTCAGCTGATATAGCAATATTAACTCATACATGAGGAATCAGTTTGTATACTGATCAGGTCTCTTAACTTTTTATGCATTATTGAACTAGGTAGAACAGGGGACTCTGCTGGATTCTAACCAGCAACTGACCTGTGTTACCAGGACTGTGTTTCATTACACCAAGAGAACTGGTCCCATTCAAAGTAGAACAAAATGCATAAAAAGCAATAACTGAATGCAAAATCTGTGAAATTCCTGCAAATTGAATCAAGAATTTCGCATACAGATTTAGTATACTCACTGGCTTAATAAGTCAGGTTTCTCACAGTGCTGCTGGTCCATTAGATAGAGCAAACCAAAGCTATGACAATACATCCTTCTAATGCATGGCTCCAAACATCATCTACACTGTTCCTTCCTTGAAATGTATGTGTTCAAAGGAACAGTGAGGAGTACATTTACAGTTTTATTGCCATTTTAAAGTTTAAAATAACATTCTCTTTTTTGTATCAGATTTCTCAATGCAATTTTTAAAAATCAAGATGATTTCTACATAGGTACACTATTATTTAGCCTATTGATGGTTGGATTCCAAAAACCTGAAAAATAATATCATTGAGATACATACCATGAATTAAAATCTGTTAAGGGCTACCAAGGTCAACAACCTTCACGCTCTGCAGCATTTTGCTTCAATAGAGTTATTTCATGTTTTTCCTCCTTTGCAGATTTAAGCATTTCATTTCAATAGCATATGACCTGAAATCGCAATGTGTTTATGAATACTATCATAACTGAATAATCAAATGAAAATGAGTGCTACAATCTTATAATTGCTGCCAGATCTTTATTTCGGCCAGGCTGTCATAGACGTTATGAGATAATCTCATGATTTATCAAAAAGTGTTGGTTGAATCTCTCTAACACATGAATGGCACATACCATATAAATGATATGATGATGTTGTTAATGTATATATCATGATAAATCATCGAAATTTGGGTTGTTAAATTAATAACAAGGGTTTTTAGAGAATTAACATTGCACTAATGGAGATTTAGCCAAAGTTTTTTCAGAAAATTTGAGAATTTCATGGAAAATAACATAACTATAAATCAATGTTATTCTTGTAAAAACATTTCACTGTCAGAATTCAAAAATGCCTAAAAGAAGGAAAAGTAAGTTATATAGAGGTCTAATATGCATATCTCATGAAAAACCAGACAAGCAAGATTACAATAGCTACGTGTACAAGGAAACTCTACAATAGGATAGTTTCTAAATAGCAGAAAAATCAATGAAATCTCGTGCTGCCATCTTTTATTCAGCTTTTAACTCGGGCTAAAACTCCATTCATTTACATGCTAAAATCTTGGAAAAGTGGCTTAATTTCATGATTTATCAAAGTGTGTTTGTTGAATCTGTATAAAACTTGAATGATATACCACTTGATGATCCTGTTCATGTACATGTTGTGATTAAACATGCAAATGTTGATTGACATACAAATAATCCACAGATTTAAAGAATTTTAGCATTGCATCTATGGACATTTGGCCCAAGTTTTTTTAAATTGTTATAGAAAATTATTCAAATTACATAACTGTGTAAATCAAAGCTATTATAGGAGAAAACTTTTCACTGAATTCAAATATGCCATTTAAAAGAAGGTAATGTAAGTCATTAGAGGTCTAATATGCAAGTCTCTTAAAATCTCACGAAAAACGAGATTTAGCGAGATTTCAAAAGCTATATGGAAACTATACTATTGGCCAGAATTATAAAGCTCTTTTTATGATTCATGAAGTTAACTTACATTTCTCCAGCTGACTGCAGTGTGTACACTTGGTTTTATCTTAATTAGTTGACATCTGCAGCTAACACTGGGAAATTCTATCCAAAAACAAAAAATGTAAATAATCAGTCTTCACATACATCCTGATATTCTGAAGAAAATGAAAAATGGCTGCTAGTCTTATGTCTTTATATCAATATATTTGGTGTTTATTAGTAAAATAACTCATATTCTTTCAAAAAATAAACAGAATGACACCAGAGCTTTACAATGTTTGCTGACTTGCAGATTTGGAATTGTACTCTTTCAGGCTTCTCTGTGAAATTAGAACAAAATTCCTTATAATTTGATTTCAACATTGAGCATTTGAAGAAAATCCAAACTGGCCACCGGTCATACTTTTTTCAATAATATATTTGGTTTTTATGTGTTATATGATTCTAATTCCTTCAGAATAAACACAGAATGACACCTTAGCTTTAAAATGATATGCTGATTAGGTGTGCTTCGATTATAGGCTTCTCTGCGAAATTCGTACAAAATTCCTAAAAATCTTATTTCCACATGAATTTCTGAGGAAAATCCAAAATGGCTGCCGGTCATACTTTTTTAAATTAATATATTTGGTGTTTATGTGGTAAATGATGCTTATTCCTTCAGAATAAACACAGAATGACACCTTAGCTTTAAAATGATATGCTGATTAGGTGTGCTTCGATTATAGGCTTCTCTGCGAAATTCGTACAAAATTCCTAAAAATCTTATTTCCACATGAATAAATTATGAGAAAAATCCAAAATGGCCGCCAGTCATACTTTTTTAAATTAATATATTTGGTGTCTATGTGGTAAATGATACTTATTCCTTCAAAATTAACACAGAAGGACATCTTAGCTTTAAAATGATATGCTAATTAATTGTGCTACGATTATAGGCTTCTCTGCGAAATTTGTACAAGTTTACTTAAAACCTTATTTCCACATGATTGAATTTCTTAGGAAAATCCAAAATGACCGCCGGTCATACTTTTTTAAATTAATATATTTGGTGTCTATGTGGTAAATGATGCTTATTCCTTCAGAATAAACACAGAATGACACCTTAGCTTTAAAATGATATGCTGATTAGGTGTGCTTCGATTATAGGCTTCTCTGCGAAATTCGTACAAAATTCCTAAAAATCTTATTTCCACATGAATAAATTATGAGGAAAATCCAAAATGGCCGCCGGTCATACTTTTTAAATTAATATATTTGGTGTCTATGTGGTAAATGATGCTTATTCCTTCAGAATTAACACAGAAGGACATCTTAGCTTTAAAATAATATGCTAATTAATTGTGCTACGATTATAGGCTTCTCTGCGAAATTTGTACAAGTTTACTCAAAACCTTATTTCCACATGATTGAATTTCTTAGGAAAATCCAAAATGGCCGCCGGTCATACTTTTTAAAATTAATATATTTGGTGTTTATGTGGTAAATGATTCTAATTCCTTTTGAATAAACACATAACGACACCTTAGCCTTATAATGATATTCTGATTAGGTGTGCTACCCCTAAAGGCTTTTCTGCAAAATACATACAAAATTCATCAAAATTTGGTTTCCACATGAGTGGATATTCTTAGGAAAATCCAAAATGGCAACCGGTCATATGTTTTTCAATCAATATATTTGGTTTAAGATGTTAGAACATCTTTATTCCTTCAGGATTAACACAGAAGGACACTGTAGCTTTGTAATGGTGTGCTGACTTGGTGTGTTACCTTAACAGGCTTCTCTCCGAAATTTGTACAAAATTCCTTATAATTTGATATGGCGTGTTATTAAAATTTCATAACAAAAAAACTTTTGTTTATTTTTAGATCTACAAAATTCAACAAGACAAAAAGCATTTATCGTCAGGAAATCGAATCGATCAGAAGATATAAGTGTCAATTATCAGCATGCATTGTTGTTATACATATATATTCACATAAACCTACCTAATCTTCCAAAATACTTGACGAATTTCCACCGATTAAGACGTGTAAAAAACAAAATGGATGTCTATGAAAAGTTCAAGGACTACGTGTCACGTGACCATAACACACATAGGTTCAGGGAATTCCCTAAATGCGGAGTTTTCATTGGTCAAGGGAAGGCGATTGCAGTCCAGTTATTTGAAGTCCATGGAACAACCGATAACGATGAAGTGCCAGTAGCTCATGACGTTGATTGGGTAACACCTTTAGGATGAAATTTCGAATTGTATTTTCTATAATTGCAGGTAACAACGGTAGCCCGACAGCGTTTACTGTCCCATTTCTTACAGAGGTGACCAACTACGACTTATTGAACACCGTGATTCGAGAGAAACAGAACTGGTTTGATAAGATATTTGCCTTTCATCCGGTGTTTAAAGTAGCGGGGCATTTGTCACATCTATTGGACAACAGCGTAAGATTTAAAAATGTACTTTAAAGTTGCCCCGAGTATTGTGATGTCATGTTATTATTGTAACCATAACTCTACCCGCATTTTATCATTTTTTCTGAAACTTTTTGAGTTGCAATACTTTAAAGTACAGTTTGTGAAAATTTGAAGACGCTCGGTGCAAAATTGACAAAATGCCAGCACCAGTCCTGTCTGTATCTCTCGAACGTAGCAATGATGAGACAGACGAGGCGCTTGCATCGTCGCTTTTTACCATACTTTGAGAAATATTCCTCTTTCAATGTAGTCGTCATCAATTTTTTTATTCATAATAGGATAATATTGGGTTATCGGGGTTATCATCGTGTTCTTTTGATTGCGATCATCGAACTAAGTTTGCATTATGGTGTTACCTAACTTTAGGTTAATATTTCGACTGAGTTAAATAGCCGCCATTTTGGATATTTTCGCCTCGTCGCTTTTTTCTTCCTGGCTACGTCACTGTATCTCATAGAATTCATAAAATTTTAGCAGTGCAGTGTAATTCAAGACAACCACTCGTGCTTTGAAAAACACAATCTGGCACAATCCCATACCAGGCGATATTGTAACATCTTGAATGATCTATATTTGGAATCTGATCGCTGAATTAAATCACCCTTGACAACCCCTTCCAAAAGACACGTAATATTTGTTGATATTTGACGGTTTCAACAAAAAAAAACATTTATTTTGTTATATTTTGTTGCAGCTTGATAAAAATATTCTTCTTGAATTTGGAGACCCCATAGTAGGAACTAGAAAATTCAACAGGTACTTTGTCTTACAAATACAAGGAGAGCGGAAACATGTGAAGAAGCACGTTGAGATTCGATTGGAAAATTGCGAAATTAGTGAATTGAGGTCTCATCCAAAACAAGGAGATATCATTCTGAACATGAACATAGCAGGTACTGAGGTAATGCGGGCCAAAGGCTAAATGGCGATAAAAAATACTTTTTAAATAAAGATGGCAATGTAATCAATTTGTTTCACATATACAGGGTGAGCCAAAGTCTGTGGTCAGAAAACTTCACCCAGCGTATTCAAGTTTGCCTCCATAGACAAGGCCAGCAATTGAGCATGCGCATGTTTTGTAAAATGGCCATAAAATGGTGACCATTTGTAAAGAAAAAAAAGATATTTTACTATTTGTTGCCTCGCTTCATAGTTTCCGAAACTTTATATGTTGAATTTAAGGTAATGAATCCTGCTTAGGCCTTACACAACCAAATGCTATAACATGCGTATTCCCATCTAAATGATTTGTCTTTCAGAGAAAACTAAGATTTTTGTACATGTTTTGCTATCATGACATCATACCCCAGTATCCTATGTCAGTCAAAAAAGTTTGAACCAAAACTCCCCACGAAAATCAAAAGATTTCACCTGTTTTATAATTGGACAATATTCTTGTTTTTAAAATGCCATCTATTCGTCTTCTTCCCACTCGGCGGAAGGATCAATAAGTTATGTGTCCCTTTATTAGGCCAACATCGCCATATTTGCAGATCTGAGCGAGCAGCGTCACCTATATGTGATTGACAGAGTGTTCACTGTTGGGCGCATCTACATCAAAGTGGTTATAGACAATGAGGAGTGTGACCTCAGGCTAAGTGGCAGAATCCCAATAGGTAAGCAATCATTTTTCCTGCTCAATTACAATAGCTCTAATATTTTGATGATTTTTATCGATTTGCTAACAAAAAAGCTTTACACGGCATCACATGGTCAAAAAGGGGATTGGGCATTGCTTGGTCCTCTAACATAGAAATAGCTAGGCGATCAGTTAATTCAGTGTGTATAGTATGTTGATGTCATTGCAGGTTTTATGTATCAGAAGTACTCCCTTGGCCGACAAGGTGTATTAGGTCCCCGGGAAATGTCATCCTTCAAGCACCACAAGAACGCCAAGTGGATCAGAAAAGCCGCATTTTGCGAATGGAAAGATTCAACGCCGGGGACTAGCGACATCTTTAAATGAAAAATAAATATATTGTCATCCTTCAAGACGTTCTGATCTATTACAAACAATGGGCTACAAAAGATCATACGAGAAAGTTTTTTTTGCAAAAGGATAGGTAACGATATGGTGAACTGAAATCAACAATGTTTTTCTCTCAAACCAATTATTGAAAACAATCTGTGACGGTTATCTCCGCCATTTGTGACAACGGTATCTGACTTTACCGTTGTCTGGCTACTCCGGTGTGAATTTGGAACATTTTATTGGTGTGTAGTTGCACCTTTGTAGACAGATAGGGGTATATTATTGTGTCACATACACGCACTGACACTGTAAAGGATTTTTGTCTATTCCCTGTATTTTTTTCATTGAGCCCTGAGCTTTCACAATCCACTTACTTGAGAACTATTTGATTTTATTTGTCCAACAAGTATATTCTTTACATTTAAATGTACGTATGTAACCTCAGACAACAGAATTATGAACGCATATTATATCGTTTAATTTTCATTTTCATTTCCAGCAGTAAATCATTTTTCTGATAAATATAGGGGTTTATTTTATGGTCTGGAAACCCAGTCCAAAACATACATGGTCCAGCTCCAGCTCGACAGAACAGTCTATATCTGTCCCGGCTAGGGTAAACTCCGAACAGATTCGATTGACTACAGTTTCTGTTGGGGAGCCACCAGGCACCTGGAACGTCCGCACATCCAATTCTGTTTTTCCTGTCTATTTTCTGGAAATCCCCGTTATGATGCAGGGACATTGAGTTCGGAATAGTACTTGTTCCTGTCTCATTATAGCCCCCTATATATAATTTGTAACTGTACTTTATATCGGCTATATCGAATCTATTATACTCTGCAAAACCGGATCGGAACGATCTAAGTTCAAATCGGATCTTGTGCATATAGGGAAATCTTACTCTCTTGAGAATGGCTAAAATAGTCTCTAACCCAATAAAGTATTCCCCGTGTGGTGCCCCAAACCCGTTTTTGTATTCATCCCATGTACGATTATGAAATGCAACTCTACCATTGTATCGGTAAGCGATTACGAGCCATCCATCTTCACAGAAAGGCACGAAATTGCCTCGATTTGTTCCCCAGAATTCATCTCTTCTTTGTATACACTCGTCGTTTTCTATAAATAATGTACTGTATGGAAACCCTTATCAATGAACATCTTTCTCTAGCCTAGTGAACACTTCTTCTTATCACACATTCTTGACTTCTGTATGAAATTGCCTCTATCTATTTTGTTTTACTTTTTTACAACAATTTATTTTTTGCTCCATCATTTAGGGTACGCAGGTGATGGTGGAGCAAATGATGGAGCAAATAAATGATGGCGTATGCCTGGTTACGCGCCTGGTAGTTGCATCAGGTAACCCGGCCTAACACCCCAGTCACATTTGTCGCACGGAGGCCGTGCGTCGACCGCAGATCAATTAAATCAACTGCGGCAAGCGTAGGAAAACTACGCTCGCCTTGCGGCCTCCGTACGGCGTATCCAGTTTTTTACAGGCCGCAGGGTCGCCGTAGACATTATAAATCGGAGTTATAATATTTGTTCATTTCTGAGGTCCCCGTAGAAATCAACTGGCTCAACAAGATTGAATCATTATTTGTCAGTTTCACGATCACTTTTCATTTGATATTACATCCTAGCACTATGGATAACATTTATAAATTGTCCTGATGTTAATAAAATGAAAAAAGTATTATTTATCAACAGAAATTTAAAATTCACCGTGCGGCTGCCGTGGGAAATGTGACTGCAAAAGTATGAGAGCGCAGAAATTCCACGGCGAGCGTAGAAATGTTACTGGCCGCAGAAATGATAGACCGCAAGGTCGCCACGTAGGAAATGTGACTGGGGTGTTACTCTTATTCAAATAAAGAACAATCTTAAAATCTAATTTTGCATTTTCGTATTTCAAGATACACTCCACTTACAAGTACACAACCTTAATAGTCTATAATATCACGTCATATTATTTTCTTTACCAACTACATACAGTAATACATAAACATAAATTGTTTAACTGTAACAATAGATGAACTACAAAACTATGAAAATGTTCAAAGGTTCAAGAACAACGAAACACGTAAACAAAACGATAATCTTAAATTGTTATATTGTATGCTATCTGTTCATGTAAGTAACGTAATTTTTACTTTAAAAATTCATAGTCAACAGTGGCTTCTATATGCTAAACTATTATCTTTCAAACAGAGCAATAGTCATCTTTTTGTATTTTATAGAGCATTAGCAACTAACACCCCAGTCACATTTCCTGCGGCCGCCGTGCGGTCTTTCATTTCTGCGGCCAGTTGCTTTTCTACGCTCGCCACAGAATTTCTGCGCTCTCATACTTTTGCAGTCACATTTCCCACGGCAGCCGCACGGTGAATTTTAAATTTCTGTTGATAAATAATACTTTTTTCATTTCATTTACATCAGGACAATTTATAAATGTTATTCATAGTGCTAGGATGTAATATCAAATGAAAAGTGATCGTGAAACATTGACAAATAATGATTCAATCTTGTTGAGCCAGTTGATTTCTACGGGGACCTCAGAAATGAACAAATATTATAACTCCAAGTTATAATTTCTACACCTTCCCTGCGGCCTGTAAAAATCTGCATTCGCCGTACGGAGGCCGCAAGGCGAGCGTAGTTTTTCTACGCTCGCCGCAGAAATTCACCGATTTAATTGTTCTGCGGTCGACTTGCGGCCGCCGTGCGACAAATGTGACTGGGGTGTAAGTAACAATCAATATTTTATGAATTTCAATTTTATTGGCATCAAGTTCCAACTATCATAACTTTGCTCCTCTACCCCCAATCGCCTGGGTTTTAACGCCAAAAAGTGCCCAAGGCTAAAAAATAACAGAGACACAAAAATCTGCAAAAAGGACCCTTGAAAAGCAGATTTTTAGAATAGATATACAAGTTGCCCCATTAGCGTCATAGCAAAGAAACGTACCTGAAATCATGTTTAGTTTGGCATCCAGTTGTTCAATCTGCTCAAGCACTCTGGATTCCAACATGGATACTTTACCACCGAGTTTATCCATTCCCTCATTCACTTCAGACATTTCATTCAATAACGTCATGACATCTCGTCTTTGACATGTATGACATTCTATCAAACCTGAAAAATATAAATCAAACAATTGTAAATTGACTCGAAAAGAAATATAAAATATGCATCGATGCCAGATAATGTTTGTCAAGTTTCATTGACCTACCTGACACCAGGGCCAAAACCAGGAAGACAAGATCCAATCCGTATTGTTGGTACATTTTATTAAAGCGAAAAATGATTAAAACAATATGATAAAATGCAATAGAGCGATGCAATTATGCGCAATACGGGTAACTTGTAACTTGTGTAGCTTGTTTATTCAACCGGAGTGAAGATATCAAAAATAGACACTGTGTTGTTTAATGTCATTATTAATGGACAGAATGTAAATATAAATAGCAATAAAAAGTTGCGGTAATTCAAACAGAGAATATCATGGTATGACTCCACCATTGTTTTGCCGTTTTACTACTTGCCACAATCAACCTCACTGCCAGCATATCAAACCAGGCCCATTTTCCATCAAACTTGGCCCAACTGCTACCAGGTGGATGTCCTTCAAAGATCAAGTTGGCATGGTTACCAAAGCCTAATAGTTGTCACGGCAACCGTATAAATGGGGTAAAAAATGAGAGCAAAAAGCACCCAAACCCACCATATTGGCACTAATTTATAAAATATTTCTAGAAATACAAATTCTCTTAAACTTTAATATCATCTAGGACACTTCTAGACAACAAAAATATCAAATATTGGGCGTAGGTTTACCACTTCGATTTTTTCTAGGCTTGGGCAAAGTAAAACTACGAAAATAGCACTCATTTTCACTTTTGAATCACATATTATCGCCCAAATGGCTATATTTTTTCAAGGTCAATAACGCCATGCTAAAAGTAGAATTACGGAGATAAATCTGCTCTTCAGACAATGTTTGATAGCTTTTCTTTACGACGAAACAAAGATCTTTGCGCTGGTATGCTCATTTCCATGAGATAATATACGTGAAAGAGGAACTACTGTCTTTAAATGTCATCAAAACTTTTGGTGTAATAATTCCTCATAGTCAATATGCAGAAGAATTTCTTATACATCATCTTTGTTTTGATCAAAAAATAAATATTCTAGTCAAAGATAAAGAGGCGAATTCCCTCATAATTCAGCTTGGTAATATAGTATTATGAGAATAAAACAATAACACTCTTTTTTTTTTTTTTAAATTTTATATTTCCTTTATTTCATAATATATCATACAAACAGATACAAGGCCTACGCCGAAGCATTATTGGCCCTGTTAAAGTAGTTACAATATAGGTTAAAATAGGTCACAATGCAAAAATGATAGATATAAAACATATTTATGAACATGAAAATAATCATGAAAGCATGAAGACAGGTCAGAGATATATGTACATATTAATGAATATTTGACTATTTAACTTCCTTGACAATAGAGTGTAAAAATTCGGCTGTTAATTCAATAGCCTTTTTATTTGTAATTGTGTCTAGAGAAGGATCTGCAAAAAGTAGAAAGTCTACCCTGTCTTCCTGTTTTCTATTATTAAAAGAGTTTAAATTAAAGGATGGCAGTCCCCCTAGTTCTCTGTGAAAATTGAGTCTTTGAATGTTAAAAAGAGGGCAATGGAGCAATAGGTGTTTGGTTGATTCGGTAGAGTGACCACATTTACATGTGGCATTTGGGATATTTTTGAAGTTATGCGTAAAAAGATGCTGCCTAAAAATGAGATCACATCTCGTTTTATTTAAGACAATTTCTTTATCTCTGGATAGGTTTAATCTTGGGGTTGTGAATTCTTTCTTTTTCCCATTCAAAAATGTTCTAATTTTATACTTAAATGAGTTGCGTGAGTGTGCTTGTTTCAGTTCATCTGGTAAATTATCCCATAATTTAATACTGGATAAAGCTGTAAACTTCCTAAGTTTAGCTGATGCTTTGAATGGGATCTTAAAATCATTGCTACGTCGAAGTCTTTGGTGCTTTACCTGATTCTTATACTGTTCAAAAACATTTGAAACATATGAAGGCATCTTATAATTATTTGCAAAGTCAGACATAAACACTAGTTTTTTTTCTTTTCTTCGATTGGATAAGGATCTCCATCCAAGACATGCCATCACCTTCTCAGAGTTTGACCCTTGGATGCAACCACTTACAATAAGACCCGCTCTATATTGGACTCTATCTAAACTTGCTAAGAGGTTTAGATTTGCGCTGTCAAAAATAATATTGCCATATTCGAGATGTGGGAGAATGAATGCCATATAAATTGTCTGTAAGTGTTTTGATCTTACTGAAAATTTGAGTGCTTTTAATGGATTTAACATTTTATTACACCTAGTAATCACTGAGCTAATGTGTTCTTCAAAGCTAAGGTGTTTGTCTAAAATGATGCCTAAATGTTTATGGCTATTTACAAGAGGTATTTGCTCATTATTCATTGTTACTGGAATTTGTTTCTTGACTTTTCGTGTGTGTTTAGATTGAAAGATAACCTCTTTACTCTTAGATGCCTTAAATTTGAGTTTCCATTTAGTGGACCAATTAGCCATTTCATTGATATCTGATTGAATTTTTTGATTTGTTGCTTCAACTGGTTCATTCTTTGGTACTGTCAAGAAGATGGAACTATCATCAGCATATAAGAAAAGTTTACAATTATGAACTGAGTCTGCTAAATCATTAATATATAGCAAAAATAAGAGGGGGCCAAGAATTGATCCTTGGGGAACCCCGCTATTTATTTCATAGGATCTGGAGTCTCGATTTTGAAGATTTTGAGGAGTATTTGCACCCGCTTCAGCATTACATGAAATGTCTGAATAAGTATCATTGATCCTTACTTTTAATTTCCTATCTGTTAGATATGAGGTCAATAACTCTATAATATTGTTGCCTAATCCATAAGATTTCATAATATGGAGTAACAAAAAATGTGGGACTGCGTCAAATGCACCTTCCACGTCTAAAAAGATTCCACGGGTTGCGAGGTTAGAGTCAAAATTATCGGCTAACATATTAACAATAGAAAAGAGTTGCTTCTGTGTATCATGTCCTGGTAAGAACCCGGACTGATTTTCATAAATGAGGTTCTTCGAGGAAACATGGTCAAAAATAGCTGTATAAATTATTCGTTCAAAAAGCTTTGAGAGATTATTAAGGAGGCAGATTGGTCTGTAGTTGGATGGGTCTGTTTTTGAATTTTTATTCTTATATATAGGAACAATTATACCCAGTTTCCAGCAATCAGGAAATGTATTAGTTTCCAAGAAAATAGTGAATAGTTTAACTAGTTCAACATCGATAGAGTCAGCCACAAGTTTCAACATTTTGTTAGTGATATTGTCTTCTCCACCTTTTTTTGATGAATTAAGGTTCCGTAAGTTATCATTTATATTTTTTCGAGAAATATTTATGTAAGTCAAAGATTCATTTGTTTTCATAGGACAGGGCGGCAATGACTTATCAATTATATTATGGTGGAACTTAGTCATGAACTTATTTAAAAAAGCATTTGCTTTTCCAAAGTCATCATCGATAATTTTATCATTTATCTCAAGAAGAGGAATTCCTGTAGAAAATTTGGTTCCTATAAGTTTCTTTATAATTGTCCAGTAGTTTAGGCCATTTGCTGCTTCTTCATCCAAGTTATTACAAAGTTTATCTTGATAGTTGTTCTTTGAGTCAGTAATTAATTTGGTAAGATATGCGTTTTGCTTTTTAAATTGGTTGATGTTTAAGTCATTGCTGTCCTTTTTCATTTTTTTGTACAATTTATCTTTTTTATTGAGAGCTGACTTGATATCCTTGTTGAACCAGGGCATATCACTAGTTTTCAAGGTTGTAACTTTGCTTGGTATATGGGATTCAAATATATGAAAAAGTGCAGCAGTGAAATCTGATGTAATTTTGTTAACATCATCTTGTAGGTAAATACTGTTCCAATCGAAATCCTTAACAGCCTGATTCAGATTGACTGTATTTGCCTCGCTATAAAGCCACGATCTCTTAGAAAACATATTTTGTTTGTTTGGAAGTGAGACATCAAGTGATGCTAAAGTCGAACAGTGATCAGTTCCACCAATAGGTGGTTTAACTTCAGTTTTCAGAATTCGGCCGGGAAAATTTGAAAAAATTAAGTCTAGACAGGATTTAGATTGTGTAGTAATTCTTGTGGGTTGAACAATAACACTCTAAATTGCATTATTAGTTTTTTGACACTGTTTGTTTACAATAAACCTAGGTTACTAATATGGTTTAATTTTCAATTTCATTTCCGTAAAATCCCCTATTTTCTTGTAATCCGTTTCAAATGATTTAATTGGGTAATACCGGGAACAACTATAGTATCCTGGACAGTGTGCAAATCCGGTCCAAAACATACATGGCCATGGTCCATTACGGTATTCACACTCCGGACCAGGGTAAATTGCGAACAGATTCGACTGACTGCACTTGGTACTGTTATACCACCAGGCGCCCGGAGTATCTCTTGAACATCCCCTAATCGGAGCCCTACCGCTATTCCTGTCTACTGTCTGGAATTTGCTGTTCGTATGCAAAGACAGTGAGTTCGCGATATTACTAGTTCCCGTAGAATTATAATCTCCAAGTCTTAGCTCATAGTTCTCCGTCTCTTCAGAAATAAAGAACAAATCATACCCTGCAATACCCCAACGGATTCCTCCTCTGAAGGATAAACCAAGCTCAACCCGCAGCTTGAATTCCTCTCTTTTGAGAAGGGATCTAATAGGTTCAAACCCAAGGAAATACTCCCCGTGTGGTGCGCCAAACCCGTTTTTGTATTCATCCCATGTACGATTATGAAATGCAACTTCGCCATTGTATCGGTAAGCGATTACCAGCCATCCATCTTCACACAAAGGTACGAGACCGTTTTCGTATGTTCTAAAAAACCGTTCTCTAGTTCGCATACATGCTTCGTTTTCTACAAATCATACATTCACATTATCATATTTGGTTCACAAGGGATTTATTGTAGCATTATAATCTATAAAGTTTATCAACTTTTCCAAAAGGGCACATCCGGGTACCCCCTGTCATTGCATATTAATTACATACTGTACTTATAAATTCAGTCGAATGACTTCGTAATATGAAACAAAATATGTTCTTAATGATAGTTTCTTATCCATGAGAAAGATGAAGGAGTTATGCAAGGACGGAAGCACAGAACCAGTCGAATTTTCATTCATGCAAATGCTTTAATTTCACAAATAATCTCTTCTTTTATTTCAAGTTGACAAGCCATGATTCTTTTTGAACAGGAAGTCTCTTTTTATAAAAATTAAGAGTCGATGACATCACTTCCTGTATGAAATTTTAGAAGACAGCCCACTGCTAATGAGCACTGTTGTTGAATGATCAATTTTGACCATATAAAACTTTCCCCGTGCTTTTACTTCAAAATGTTGAACCTATTTACTAAAAAGAGGATTTCATTTTTATTGCATGAAAAGATTATTCAAAAAGGGGTCTAAAACTTCTTCAAAAGTAGAATGGTATTGAAAGTCTAGTTTTGAAGATATCAATTTTCGATGACCAAAATTATGCTGAAAACAATGGATAGCACGAGTTTTCTCTAGATGGGAAAATAACATGGGATATGTGGTTTTTAACTTTAAGGCATTTCAATACCAATCCCCTTTTCAGAAGTTGTAAATATAGTGTAGAAGAAACTTTCGATATGGTTAAATCGAGAAAAACAAGATCCTCTTTTTAGAAAATAAGCCTAACATTTTCTAAAAAGTGCCCAGATGGGGTCCAAAACCATAATTTTTCAGAGAGTTGGATTGATATTTTACTACTACGGGAACTTCACTTGAAAGAAAACATATTGTTTTTATAAAAATCACTGTATTCATGGCCAGAAAGTACTCATGGTGAAAGATATGACCGTCTAAAACCACTTGCCATACTGCACATGGACCTTTAATCGAAAAATAACAAATACTTGCATAACATCGCTTAAATCTATTGAATATCGATGACAGGGAATAGAAGTCATATATTGAAAAATTGTTACATATTTTGTTGCAAGAGATTTCCAAATGAACTTTTAAAACCAAAATAAAAAAAACATGCATGACCCAGCCCTTTTCTTGTTGCCCTTCTTATTAAGAAAAAATCACACAAAATATGTTTTTTAGATGCGTACATATTTTCTCTTAAATAAAAATCATTCGTACCAGTCATCCTATTTAGTTTTGTATTCAATTTTGTCAGCTGGTCAAGTACTTTTGCCTCAAAACCTGTACGTTTTATTTCCGGCGTGTCAATCAACATTTTACCAAATATTTCCATATCATCCTCCAATTTTGTATTAAGAGTGTCAAGCTTGTTTTCCAATTTTGAGATTTTGTCAGTTAGCTCATTCTCTATTCTTTTGATATCACGCTTCTTACACAGGACCTTGTCACATGTCTGACATTTTATCAAACCTGAATGATATATGCATTTTGGCTGAACCTTTATTCTTAGTAAAATGTAAAAATACAAATACAATGACAGCCGAATATGCGTTATTTATCGGCATTTAAACCCAACTTAGGCAGCAACGCAATAGAATGAACTATGATTTATTTTAAAGAATATGCAGTTGTATCAAAAGAAAAGTACACTATTTTCTATTGTTTTTAAAGAACACTTGCAAGCTATCAAAAACCAGCGTGACACAAAATATTTTTATCTGTCAAATGCAGTGCACGAAAGCTGAACTAATTATAACATATTCAATCATTCAAAAGTTAAATAGTAAACAAAAAATATTTACTGTAGCGCTGAAGCTGAACTAATAACGCAGATGCGAGTAGGTAGTTACCAGTTTCACCACCAGGTGGCTCGTTCGGTTCAGATAGCATGGCGGGTATAGTAGAAAGTTCCCTTTAACTTAAATTACATCTGTTTTTGTGGTTCAATTTTCATATAACCCTTATGTCATTTTTAGTTATGCAAATCAAAATATGTCCAGTAAATGAAAATGTTATCTGACCAATACAAGAAAAGATATTTCACTTTTTGTGATTTTGTAACATGGGCTCTATGGAGAATCAACCCGAACTAGAAGTCACACTTTCAAAAATAATTAAATTTTCAAACTTGATAAACAATTTTCGAAACCATATTTCTAGATGTACTTTTACATGTAGATTTCAAATATAACATCGCTTTGACTGAATTTTGAGTATTCAATGGCGTAAATCAAGATTTTTTCTACTCGCATCTAGTCTATTACATCCAATCACATTCTCAATACACTTACCTAATAGTCAATACAAAAGAAATTAACTTTTCCTAAAATTGGATCATGGACCATTTACCTTTCATAAGAGCCAGTGCTGCGTGTTTAATTTAAGTGAAATTAACAATTCGCAGCGGCTTCGGCTATTATTTCTCCTTAAACCCAATACTCATAGTTTATCAACAACATAATCGATCAACATCATTTTTTGTATAACCTTGCAAATTTCTCGATGCCTCTTGTTTCTTTAGAAGTGAAAAAACAGCTGTGAAACTATGAAAAATATACTTAAATTGTAGCATCAATTTGGTACCTTTTAAAGTTGACTTACCCAGAAGCAAAGCTAGCGTCACTATGCCAAAAGCCTCAATATTCCTGCGAAAAATCATGTTGGATGTTGATGGATCTAAGCGATGTAATGAAATGCGTTAGAGGAAAGTGTAAAAAATAATAGCTTCCTTTTGTGTTGATATCACGGACATATGATTTGCATTGTTTAACAAAATGCCACAGAGAATGCAATAAAAGTACATTTCAAAATGTCAACCGGCCAATCTAGTAAAGCTCACAATATACATATATTCAATACAATACTTTTTTATGGGGTTCTCTTTTAGGTCCATGACCTTTAGGGTACTTTAATATATACCATTTTCATACTCACATTTCCACCCTGCTATAGAATGACGGTTACGCCACCTCTGAAAACGAGGTTGGACGGCTACGTTCACTGATTTATCCAATAAAATGGCCGCGATGGGACAGAAAACTAAGGTTGGTGCATTATTTTCTACTACTGTGTATCAATAAAAGGATGAATGCTTTATGGAAGCATCGCATTCGGTGGTGCATTTAGTAATGTATATTTTGAACGTAGTCTTTGCAAATTGATGCCCGGGGATAACAATGTCATGAAATAAGCGAAAAACTGTTGAGTTTGAAAATTCAAAACGACACAAAATTTAGTAATTTATTTATTTTTGTCGTTAGGGCATGGTCTACATTGCCATAAAACGCATCTGTGTAAAAAGCGTCCATTACTTATTGATCACCCCTCGTAGCATTGGAAACCACCTAATATGTTCTACTCAAGCCATAATAATGTATTTTGAATTTGTGGTTACGCAAAAAATTAATGGACGGTTACGCGAACCTCGTTCAAATATGTACTAGTATCCCTGGTTCATTGTTATTAATTTTGTCATATTCATCAGTACTTGATGCTATTTCTTCTTTTGCCTCTTCATTGCTATCTTTTTGACTTTCATTGGCTTCATAAATAAAGCAAGACACAATTTTCCTTGTCCTACAGACACACCCCATTCTCTTATACGTCGTAATACCGGAAGTTTACGGCGACATTCAAGCATTTCAGGCGGGAGATTTGTAAGTACTCATTTATTTCGACGTTTTGACAGAATATGGTCATTTCCCTTTCGTAGAGACATTGCCCATACCATGCAGATATACCTTTAGTATCGCTACGTCTCGACATCTTGTCTGAACAAGGTCTAGAACTTCTCAAACCTTCTAGAAAGCAAGACATTTTCAAGAAAAAAATAATGATTTTTCACGAAAATCGTCATAGTTTCTATAATTCTAGCCCTATCAACTTGAAATATTGATAAGATTAACCAAACAATTCTTATATATCATCCAGACACTTCAGTTTCCAGTATTAATGAAAGAATTTCGAGATATTAATTTTTCTTTGGAATCATACGACGTCAAGGAGGTTTACGGCGTTTAGGGAATTGGATATCTACAATGAAATATATGTCCAACTGATTTTTTTTGCTACATAATTTAATGAATGACTGACTTACAGGAAAACAAATTTACATGAAATTAATGTACAAGATTGAAACTTGATTTTCCTTAGGCATAATCCAATATCTTTTGTTTTTAGTAGTAAACATCATAAAACATACACCACAGCCTGCACTGCACTGACTGCACTACAGCCTGCACACAGATCTTGTTGGAGATGAGTGAAGTATGTCTATCTTTAGCCTCATTGTGTGCATGAAATATACGATGTACATTAATTTTTCTCTTGCAAATATTTTAAGCCAGTTGATTGGTGTTGGTGAGGTCCTGTAATCACAAAGTTAAGCATACCCACTCAGTCACATAAGCAATGCAAGATATGTTTCATGATAAACAACTGTCGTTCGAACTAACTATACTTCTGATGCATGAAATCTCCTAAATTAAAAAGAGACGTTATTTCAAAAGCCGTGCTGTGTGATAATTTGCAGTTGTATTCTTGAATTAACATTAAATGTTTTAAACTATTATTTCAGGTCGTGGTTCATAAGAAGAAAACATGCTCCCTCTGTGGCAAAAGGTATACTAGTCAAGTTTTGTCTAGCCACATGAGGTCAGTCCATGGTGCAAAATTGCTCGAATGTCCACAGTGTGAAGTGGAGGGTTTGATAACAAGGGATGCTCTAAAGCGACACGTTGACCGAATTCATAGAGATATGGACTTTATATGTTCCACATGCGGGGCATCTTTTGAAAACAAAAAAAATCTGAAAGAACACCAAAAAGGAGCTCATGGAGAAGAACGATACCTATGTGATCTGTGTGGCAAAAAATTCTGATGGCGCGCATCATTAAAAAAGCACAATCATTTGCATTTTTTACTTATCTAAGTGCTCAAGAGTGTATGCTCTAAAATACCAACCTGTTATTAAACCTTGAAAAAGTTTAGATGAAGAAACATTTTAAGTGATCTCGTCTTGATTGACAGTTTTATTATATTTATTTATATAAGAAGTATATATTAAGAAATGCCATATTGACATAGCACATTATTTCAACTTTAGCTACACCCTCTTTTTCTGCATCAACATTTGTATTCATAAAAGCTTTGCATTTTCAATTTGGCATTTTTGCAACTGAAGATGATAGTTCTTAAACTATCGATCTAGTCGTAATTGACAATTTATATTTTCATCATAAAACACAATCCTCTATACATGGACGTAAAAGCATTCTGTTGAAATCTATGATGGTTTTATACCGAGTTCGTTATTGATAGCTTTAGTTTATTTATTTATTTATAATGTGTAAATGTAAGGAAATGCCATATTGACAAAGCACAGTATTTCAACTTTATCTGGTTATTTAATGCATCTGCATTTTAAATTTGGCATTTTTGCTTAAGATGATAGTTCTGAAACATTTTGTTAAAGTACCAATCTAGTCGTAATTGACAATTATATACGTATGTACGTGCAATAATAAAATACAATATTTTTTATACATGACGTAAAAACATTTTGTTGACTTTGATGAGGCAAAACTAGTGGTTTGACTTCTAGCATGTGCATAGCTGACTACAAAAGCCTGGGTAAACAGTTTACATGCCCTCCAACGTTAGATATAAAACCCATTGCATATTTACAATATTGTTTAACTTACATAATTGTGTGCAATATGTTAGCATAAGAACGAGCATATCTGGTTATTTTAAAGAAAGAAATGTACGTTTCATAAAGGCACAGTACGTTTCAAAAATCTAATGAAATGTCATACTTCAGCCAATTAGAATACAGTATCTTATATAGTTGCATAACATGGCAGAAATATAATTTATCTAAAGTAATTATAGACAAGGTATTAATATGCATATTCACCATAGACACCAACCGCCGAACGCTGTCCACTTTTTGTTGGAAACTAGAACGATATGGCACTACTTTAGGTGGTTACATACAAACATCAATTTCATAAGTTCAAGTTGACTATTGTATTACATCTTGCATTTTCAACCCAAAAAAGCTGACAAATGTACTTGGATACACATCATTTTTTAAATTTCAAATTCCAACAATTGTCGCAAAAAATAACAAGACACGATCATTCATAAACACTATATAAGATTCAGAAAGAGAATGTAAACAGTTGTCACAATCATCTGTGGATTGAAATTGAGATGTTTTTTATGAGAAAATGTCTGAAAATAAAAACTGAAAGCATGCATCATACCCAATGATACCTCATTATATTTTGCACTGTGTGAAATAATCTTTGCCTATCAATCAAAACATTGTTCGATATATTCTCAATTATTAGTTTCTCATATACTTTGCATTATGGTGCGCATTTGTTCAAAAGGATGGAGACAAACCATTCTTAGGTAATACATCTCAAATGATGCATTGAATTCCTGGCTAAAATCCTGATATACAGTACTAGTAACCTGTAAGTCAAGTTTAATTTATTCAGGTTTAGACTTAATCGAAGTCAGTAGTAATTAGTCCTGCTCTTCTTGACATTTTGATTTTTGAGAAATCAGTTTTGTAATTGCTTAATCAACTTTAATAAGTGTTAAGCGAGGAAAGAACAAGTCAATATAAAGAAACAATGTCATGGTGTACGTCGTAAACCTCCTTGAAGTCGTATGATTCCACAGAAAAATTAGTTTCTCGGAATTCTTTCATTAATATTGGAAACTGAAGTGTCTGGATGATATATAAAAATTGTTTTGTTAATCTTATCAATATTTCAAGATGATAGGGCTAGAATTGAAGAAACTATGACGATTTTCGTGAAAAGGTATCATTTTTCCTTGAAAATGTCGTGCTTTCTAGAAGGTTTGAGAAGTTCTAGACCGTGTTCAGACAAGATGTCGAGACGTAGTGATACTAGAGGTATATCTGCATGGTATGGCAATGTCTCTACGAAAGGGAAATGACCATATTCTGTCAAAACGTCGAAATAAATGAGTACTTACAAAGAATGCCATAAAATTAGTCAGTCCTAGATTTTCATACTAAGAATCACCACTGAAAATTTGAAATTGATCCGTCAAACAGTTAACCTGAAAACGCATAAACAAGACTTTACTGACAAGATTAAGAATGGAAAATACAAAATGGCTGTCTTAACATTTACCCAGAATACCAAAAAACTAATCAGATCTAGATTTTCATACTAAGAATCATTCCTGAAAGTTTGAAATTGATCTACCATACGGTTCACCTGAAAATGCGTAGACAAGACCTTACTGACAAGATTTTAGGACGGAAAATCCAAAATGGCTGCCTTGACATTTACCCAGAATGCCAAAAAACTAATCAGATCTAGATTTTCATACTAAGAATCATCCCTGAAAATTTGAAATTGATCTACGAAACGCTTCACCTGGAAATGCATAGACAAGACTTTACAGACAAGATTTTCAGACGGAAAATCCAAAATGGCTGCCTTGACATTTATCCGGAATGCCAAAAACTAATCAGATCTAGATTTTCATACTAAGAATCATCCCTGAAAATTTAAAATTGATCAACCAAATGGTTCACCTGGAAATGCATAGACAAGACTTTACAGACAAGATTTTAGGACGGAAAATCCAAAATGGCCACCTTGACATTTACCCAGAACGCCAAAAAACTAATCAGATCTAGATTTTTGTACTAAGAATCATCCCTGAAATTTTGAAATTGATCTACCAAACAGTTCACCTGAAAATTTGTAGACAAGACTTTACAAACAAGATTTTAGGACAGAAAAATCCAAAATGGCCGACAATAAAAAAGTGCTTATGAGTTTTTGCTTATTTCTTTTTACAAAATTATCATATATAACTACCATTAACAATAACATAGGCTTTTGCAACAAAGTACACCTGAACTTATTTATAAAGCTACAAAATATTTAAAGTATGAAAACTCAAAAACACCATTCAATATGATACAAAGTATTATCGCACGCTAACTTTTCTTAAAACATTAAAAATGGCTGCCATGACTGAGCTAACAGGTCCAAAACCTAGTCAGACGAAGTGAGCTGAACAAGATGTTAAAGTTTTGAAAGCAACTATGAAGCCGTTTTTCTTAAAGTTTGCAGACAAGGATTTTAACATTTGACTTCAAAATGGCCGACAGGAAGTAGGTATCGAGTTAAAAAAAATGTTATCCTCATCTGTATGCACTCATAAGTTATTCCTGAAAATTTGAAGGTGACATCTGTAGTGGTTTTGGAGAAAACTGTCGGACGTACGGACGGACGGACGGACAGACAGACAGACAAACGGACGCGCCAAGGTCGACAATATGGCCCCACACTATGTAGTGGGGACATAAAAATGGTGGACAACAGTACGTTGGGTTCCTATATCAACTCTGACCTATTTGGGAAATCTCCCCCTATGTGTGCAACAAAAACATTGTCTAGGTTAGGCAAATAGAATAGTAGAATTAGATCTTTTATTGATTTTTCTCAGTGAGTTACAAATTGACGACAAAGCCTATTCTATGTGCATTAATAGCTAGTTCGTTGAAGTGTTTTTTATGAATTAAGTCTTCGTTAATTTTTCAATTTCCAGACATGGCTCATAGCTAAGTCAAAGTACACATCAGTTCGACCTTGATACTTCTTGTTGTAATAGTCCGCGAATTCCTGTATGTTGGCCTGAAAATAAATACCGTGAATACAAGTACAAGATATCGTGCATACAAGATATCGTGCATACAAGATATCGTGAATAGTACAATAACGTCATTTCTAAGGGCAATATAGTGAAATATTGGACCGAGGGCCGAAGGCCCAAGGTCCAATATTTCACCATATTGCTCGCAGAAATGACGTTATTAGTATTATTACCAGCGTTAACGACCAGGGCTGAAATAGCAAGAAAATCTTACGCACTGAACGATATCTAATTTCCCGGGGAAAAATTGCCGGTCCAGAATATATTCTAGACCGGTCCATATGGACCACCTATGACGTCACACATTTCTCAGGTCGATATAGTAAAATGAATGCCTTCTAAACTAGCACTAAAACCCCTAGAACTGGCCCGGCAAGGTGGTAATAATGTAGCATATCGTGAATACTAGTGCAAGATACCGTGAATACAAGTACAAGATATCGTACATACAAGTGTAAGATATCGTGGTGAATGCAGCTAACGTGAATAAAGTACAAGATATCATGAATACAATTCAACATTTCCTAAAAACAACATTGCATGAATACAAAATTCCTTGAATGCAACACCCCAAATACGAATTAATACAACAACGATTTCTTTCACAAATATAACTGACTAATGGACAAATGTGAAAAACGCCTAAAAGTATGATTTGATTGGAAATAAGATACTTACTTCTCTGTTTCTGTCTGCATCCAAGATGTTAAGAATCCCTCGGTTTATCATCTCATCATTGAGCTTGAGAACACCATCCTTGTTCGAATCAGCCTTCTTGAATGCCTTTACCAAAGTTTCTTTCTTCGCTTCGGATAGAGGTTGCTAAGATAGATAGAAAGCTTTTTTTGTCATAGAAATATCCACATGTAAAAAAGGTATTCAAAATCGTTCCTTACACCCCAGTCACATTTGTCGTACGGAGGCCGTGCGTCGACCGCAGATCAATTAAATCAGTGTATTTCTGCGGCGAGCGTAGGAAAACTACGCTCGCCTTGCGGCCTCCGTACGGCGTATCCAGTCTTTTATAATTACAGGCCGCAGGGTCGGCGTAGAAATTATAACTCGGAGTTATAATATTTGTTCATTTCTGGGGTCCCCGTAGAAATCAACTGGCTCAACAAGATTGAATCATTATTTGTCAATGTTTCACGATCACTTTTCACTATGAATAACATTTATAAGTTGTCCCGATGTAAATAAAATGAAAAAGTATTATTTATCAACAGAAATTTAAAATTCACCGTGCGGCTACCGTGGGAAATGTGTCTGCAAAAGTATGAGAGCGCAGAAATTCTACGGCGAGCGTAGAAATGTTACTGGCCGAAGAAATGATAGACCGCAAGGTCGCCGTAGGAAATGTGACTGGGGTGTTATCACGCGTGATTATGTGCGATATTTCATTTACTTTACAATGCATGTCGTTTAATACATATATATAGCAATTGGGCTAATGTTTATAGTTTAAAGTAGTTAAACTGTAAACTATAGATAGCAGCAACGCCAAGCCGTAGCAAATCCAATTGAATGGCCATGGCTGCTATTTTTGGAAATGCCCACTAATTAGCCAAATTGCCATCATAGGACAGAGTAATATTCTTCTTAGTGTTCACATAAAAATGGCCAGCATTCTTCAAAATGGCTGCTTAATAGTCAGGGAGGGGGGGGGGGCATGAACAGAATGACCCCCAGAGTGGCACTGGGAAATTTCTTAATGATAAGTATTCATGTATAAATTTCAACAAAATCACTACTACTTTTCCCGTTATAGCAGCAACGTTTTTCGATGGAAAAATAAGTATCAATTATGATATGATACGATAGACAAACATTATTGTATTTTCTATGTAAAATTTCACTTTAAGTGAAAACATTTCAAAATAGCTCACCTGAAAAGCTTCAGCTAAATCATTATAGCTCAACCCTTCCCCATATGGATCCAACGATTTGAAGAGTTTTTTTGCTTCAGATTGACTTATTTGACATAATTTGTTACCCAGTTCCTCATTGAATTCTTTAAGACTAATCCATCCTGATTTATCATCATCGAACATCCTGAATGTCCTAAAAATCAGAATAAATACTCGACTTCATAAAACTACTCAGACTATTAGCTAACTCTCGACAAAATATAGTGATAAATGAATTTTTCAGATAAGCCTTAATTAAGCTGTTTCCTCCTGTTGATCCTCCAATCGTTTTGATGAGTTTTAATGATAAAATAGGCATTCATTTTACTATATCGACCTGAGCAATATGTGAAGTCATAGTGGTGGTCAAGAATGCATTTTAAACCGGTCGAGAATGCATTTAACGACCGGCAATTTTCCCCGGGAAACTAGGTCGTTCAGTGCGTAAGATTTTCTTGCGGGCAATATATAGGGTGGTCCAAAAAAAAGTGAGCCCCTGCAACAGGGTATATTTTCCTTAATACTTGCATGAAATGCCTCATATTATTACAAGTTGTAGAGAAAGGTCTAAAATTTTTGTTGATGCCATAATTTATTCCCAGTCTTCAATTTTGAAGAAATTACAAGACTTAAACAAACATGCCTGAAATTGGATTGTGCAGAATTTTACTAAACGTAATTCATTGAAATTGTTGAAACATGTTAGGTATTCTTAAAACAGCTTTTAGTTAGAGATACAAGTTTAAAACCCTACCATATTACAAATGGGATACTATTTGAGCAGAAACACATTTCACACTTTCATTGATCATTTTGAAGCAGTTTTAATTGTTCAACAGTTAAGGGGCATGTTACCTACACAAATGGATAGGGGGGGGGGGCAAAGTTACCCCCTTTGACCAGGAGTCTGAGAAGCCCTTCATCAAATATCTTTAGAAAATCAAAAGAAAATCTAATATTCAATGTTTTGACCCATAATTCACTAGAATTGGTCCATGATTAATGAAGATATTGACATTTCAAGATCATATAGGGGTATGTTGCGATTTCGCTGGGAAAAATTGTCTATGGAAACTTAGAACATTTCTTTGGATCACAATATCTTTGCAACCAACAAAGGTAGGACGCTAGTTTTTACGCCATAATGTGCGTGATTCAAAACAGAACAAAGTCAGAAAATAATAGCTCTTTAAGACTGCAGCTAAAAAAATGTCAGGGGAAGGGTGTTGATGGGTTGAAGAATCGCAGATGTTGAAAATCACATTTTATCCATTTTCAGTAATATTTGGTTAGGGCTTATAATTTCTGCAAATATCAAGACTAAGAAAAATGTATGGTAACAACAAAAAATTTAGACCTTCCTCTATAACATGTGAAAATATGAAAGGATTCCTGAAGGTAATAAGGGAAATATGGCCCGTTGCAGGGGTTCACTTTTTTGGACCACCCTGTATATAGTCTAATACAGGGACTCTGGATTTAAGGTTTCCCCGGGACTGTTGGAACTACACAGGAGTAAAACCCAAACCAGGTCAAGGGTCAGCCCATTTCCCGCCAATATATCATCTTGACAAAGGTAGTAGCTGCTACCGAAAGCTCGAAAAAGTAAGTTATTTTGGTTAGTGATTTGAGGAAAGTAATACAAATTAATTTATCTTTACCTAACCGATGAAAAATTTGACAATATATACAGAATATCACATCATTTTGAGTGATATCATTTTTATCGCCGAGTTGATCAAATATCAACACGAGTGAGCGAAGCGAATGAATGTTGATATTTGATATCTACGAGGCGATAAAATGATATCACGAGAAATTATGTGATATTGGGTTTAACCCATGATTACAATCACCTTGTGATGTTCTGATCCAATTTCCAGGACACCGGCCATTTTGATTTGTACTTTACTCACTGCGCAGTAATATGTACTACTTTCTGTACATGATATAGTTCGTCATAAATACCATTTTAATCGGTAGTTAGCAGCCTTCTAATCAAATTATATACACAATCGTAATTCAATACACCAATGAAACTTAAAGAGAATAAATTAACGGACCTATTTTCTAAAAAGTGAATAAATTATCTGACCTAATTTCCAACAATATTGTGGCGCGAAATGCAAATGTAATATCACACGGATATGCGTGAGATAAACGATATCACACGCATACGAGTTTGATAAACGATTTTCTGGAAAATATCACACAGATTTCAATAATATCAGAAATATCAGAAGAAATAAACAGATTATCTTATTATGAATCAATTTTTGGAAAGATTATTAGCATGCCATATTGATTTTATCTGTCTATTTGAAAATAAGATCGTCCGTCTGACTATATTTTGCATTCAAAATGACATCATTATGTTTTTTGTTATTCCGCCAATTGTTTTCATATGTTTAAATAATAAAACACTCGTATATTCCGACATACGTTTTCACCTGTTGAGAGCTGTCAACATTACCGTTTACTGAAGGATTCAACATGGTTTATTGAAGGATTCAACATGGGTCCACAAAAAAGAAAAAATAGATTTTGATATTTTTGAAGTTTACAACGGATTATCTTCTTATGAATCGGATTTTGGCAAGGTTATAAGCATGATACATTGTTTAATTGAAAATACGATCGTCTGTCATACGATTACACATTCAAAATGATTAAAAATAATTGTTCCATCTAGTTTACTTTCTTTTAACTTTGTCTTGTTTTTCGTTGACCCGCCGATTGTTTTGATGTGTTGAAATGATAAAACATAAATTCTTACAAACGTTTTCATCTGTTGAGGACCTGTCAATATTACCGTTTACTTATTATTGAGGAGTTTAACAGAGGTCCATAAAATATAGATATTGATTTCTTTAAAGTTTACCACGGATTATCTACTTATGAGTCGGCTTTTGGAATTAGCATGATATAATTATTTTATCTGTTTAATTGAAAATAAGATCTATCTTCTCTCTGGCTTTATTATTGGGTAACTATAGCTTGGCATTAGCTTTTAAAATTTGATTAATCTTAGTATTAGAATTGTATGTAAAAACATTCATTCATGGAGCTATTTGACCCAAAATAAACATCCTCAGATGACTTCTTTCAAATGCGATAAATTTTTATTACGCTTCTTGACTTAGTTCTAAGGGTGGCACAATTAAAAAAAATTCAAGTCAATTGACAGCATAATTACTAATTAGAAGTCAGGTGTAACTAATTCATTCGAATTCTTCCTATTAATTTGGCAAGTCTACGTACTTCCACATTATACGGAATGGGGAAATTTCATCCACTTTCGCTAGATGCGCAGTCGTCGGAAAATGATGAGTGACGTATTGACTGATGATTTTTGGCAATAATTGTACCGATTCAAACAATTTAAAATATGCATGCATGGATTAAATTCATCCAATTGAACAATTTGAAATAAGCATGCATGAATTAAATCTAAAGGCAAGTATCTCAACCCGGCCTCTCTTTGGCAGCGTGCTAAAATTTTGCGAAATGAAGACCAATTAGCTTATTGTAAACTTCCAAGCATAATAACTCAAATATTGACATTTGAAATAAACGATTTAACTATACGAGAGAATATTAATGTATATAGTGAAGTGATGAGAGGTTTTTTACCTGCCTAAACCATTTAATGAGGATAATCCAAAGCATTTGGTGAGCGTTGTTCCAATGCTATCCTTTATACTGCTGGTATCGATCTCTTTTACTTGGATTTGGTCATCAATCATGTCTTCAAGTATCCTGTAATAAAAATGAACAATTTACACTTTACAAATCTAATACCGTGGTCACACCGTGGAACAAAATACTCATCGGCCGGGCGCCGGTGCTGAACATCGAAGCAAATGTGACCACGGCATAACAAATATGTGGACTTCTGGTTTTCTGCCAAAAAGTAACCATAGTACAGTATATAGCGAAATAATGGCATATTGAAACTTTTGGTTTCTTTCTAGGATGTATGCAATATCTTTGTATTTTCTTTTTCTATAATTTACCTTTTTAGAATACCCTCAAGCACTTCAGCCTCGTCTGTGGCTGTCCCTCTTTGAAACGTAGCAAGCAAAACCACCGCAAGACTTATTAACGTTAATGACTGCATCTGAAACAACATTTGAAAGCTGAAATGATGCATTGTAGTGCTTTAATTTAGAAGTTTCAAATTTATTTCAATAAGTATCAATCCCTTTTTTCAAACTCTGTTGCAATATAGTCCTTTGATTGTTTATTTTTTAGATACAAAGTTGTCAATGGTATTATGAATCTGACTACCTGAAGATATTATTGCTAACTCGAGAAAACGGATGTTGAGGAAAAATACCGCAATTTTGATGATGAATATTTTGTTCAAAATTGTATTCAGGTTTTGAACAAATACTCACCGGCTAGGCGGCTGTGTTTAGATCGGATCAAATGTGACTATGGCATTATTTTTTGTTTAATGATAGCCACAAAACAAAAATAAAATATCCAAAACTTTGGTCCTGTACATGTAGATGTTTCCATTTTTTCAAATTCTGTTGCAATATAGTCCGTTAATTGCTTATTTTTTTTAGATACAACGTTGTAAATGGTATTATGAATCTAACTGACCTGAAGATATTGCTAACTCGAGAAAACTGATGTTTAGGAAAAATACCGCCATTTTGACGATGAATATTTTTTGTTCGAAAATTGTATTCAGGTTTTGAACAAAATACTCATTGGCTAGGCGGCGGTGTTTAGATTGGATCAAATGTGACCATTGCATTAGCCTGAAAAAATAGATGAATCTAAAAAGGTAGGGGACAGAGCAGTCATTATTTAACAGCTTGTAAATATATCTTGCTAGGGTTTCTGTGCATTGAACCCATGTTTATTGAAACAAGGAACATTGGTTCTCCGAGATTCAATGGTATTGATTTTGAAATAAATTTTTGAATTGCTGTCCCTCACTTTTGTATTTTGTATGGTCATGGGGCAAGAAGGGCCACCGTGAGGCAAGAATGGCCGTTTTATCAGAAGCCTTCTTTGAGTTTTAGGTTTTACCAAAGTCTTACAGAAATGGGATTCAATGGTATTGGTTTTGAAATAAATTTTTGAATTGCTAATATGCCTCTCACTTTTGAAAAAATGATTTTGTATGATCATGGGGCAAGAAGAGCCACCGTGAGGCAAGAAGGGCCGTTCTATCAGAAATCTTCTGTGATTTGTAGGTTTTACCAGTCTTACAGAAATGGGGCAAAAAGTGCCGCTGATTGAATCTGGCGCCTAGAAATGAAACAAAATGAACGGCGATTGAGTTCGGTGCCATTTTGACCCCATGTCAGAATTATATCAGGCGATTTAAACTTGGTGAACCGTCTTGCCCCACGGCCCTTCTTACCCCTCTGTCCCCTACAGGAATTTGTTTACTTCAACAAGTTAAAACTAGTCTGGGCCTTATTTCTGATCTGACATATCTTGTGGCCCGCCCTAGGTTTAACGTCCGTGCCGTGATATTGGGTTTTATGTGTTGAACTAGAATTTGTTCAGAAGTCATTCAGTCAACCTTATGTACCATCCCTTAAAAATTGCAGTAATTTGCTCTAAAACGTAACACAGCATGTTATCAAGTTAAAATAAAGCTAGGGAAAGTAACAAATATGCAAATTAGGTAAGACTGCATGTTCGAAATTTTGCTGCAATTCTCTATTGAGTCACATGTTATTTTTCAAATAAGAATCACTTCTCCAAATTGTCTACATCTTTCAATTTTGCACAAAGCAGGGGCGTAGGAAGGTGTAAATTCACCATGTTGATGCGCCAGACGCAAAAATGCAAAAATTTGGTCAAATCTTTTTGTAAAACCTCATTTTTATAATAATATCTATTTGTGCAAAACTGAACGATGTAGAAAATGTTGGGAAGGAGTGATTCCTATTTGAAAAATAACATGCAGACTTAATTTATTTTATCGGCCAAATCGACTACAGTAAAATTTTGAAATGTTTGGAACTACTTTGAATTTAAAAAATAAGCAATCAAAGGACCATATTGAAGCAGTATATGTAAATATAAAAACAAGTTGTACAAGTTGTACATGTCCTAATTTTTGTATATTTTACAGTCAAAACAGAAATGTTTGTGACTACTTTGAATTTAAAAAATAAGCAATCAAATGACTATATTGAAACAGTTTATGTAAAAATAGAAACATTTATATTTATCCTAACTTTTGTATATTTTAGTTTGTTTTGTAGTTTAGCTATCATATCTGTGTCCTCTTATATTTTGATACTTCTCTGCCATGTTATTTTCGGAAAAATTAACATGGCTTAAACTCCCTAAATTACAAAATGCCACAGCTTTGCTGCACATTACACATTACTATCTGAAATATACAAATGTTACAGTCAAAACAGAAATATTTGTGACTACTTTGAATTAAAAAAAAATAAGCAATCAATTGCCCATATTGAAACAGTTTATGTAAAAATAGAATCATTTATATTTATCCTAACTTTTGTATATTTCAGATAGTAATGTATAATGTGCAGCAAAGCTGTGGCCTTTTGTAATTTAGGGAGTTTCAGCCATGTTAATTTTTCCGAAAATAACATGGCAGAGAAGTATCAAAATATAAGAGGACACAGATATGATAGCTAAACTGCAAAACAAAATATACAAAAGTTAGGATGAATATAAATGTTTCTATTTTTACATAAACTGTTTCAATATGGTCATTTGATTGCTTATTTTTCAAATTCAAAGTAGTCACAAACATTTCTGTTTTGACTGTAGGATAAATATAAATGTTTCTATTTTTACATATTAAACTGTTTCAACATAGTCATTTGATTGCTTATTTTTTAAATTCAAAGTAGTCACAAACATTTCTGTTTAACTATAGTTTGTTTTAGTTTAGCTACAGTTGGGGACATAAATAAATGACAGGTGGATTTGCTGAAGTGAGGATTTCCCATGTTAAAAATAAGAGAATTTACAAGAGGCCATAAATCAGTGGATGAGATTATACAAAATGTAAAATATACAAATTTTAAGGGATATGTATCTAGACAATATTGGAAATTATGGGCTTTCAGACCACCATAATTAGGAAATGGTGATCGAAAATCGACCTGTCATTTATTTTTGTCCCCAACTGTATCATATCTGTGCCCTCTTATATTTTGATGCTTCTCTGCCATGTTATTTTCGGAAAAATTAACATGGCTGAAACTCCCTAAATTACAAAAGGCCACAGCTTTACTTCACTTTATACATAACTATCTGAAACATACAAAAATTAGGACAAGTACATATGTTTCTATTTTTTATATACTGTTGCAATATAGTCATTGGATTGCTTATTTTTTAAATTCAGTAGTTCCTAACATTTGAAATTTTACATTTCCCATGTAAATAAATGCTAACGTATATTGGCTATATTCTGATATTTTTAGCCAATTTTCAAAAATGTTAGAACAATAGGATATAGTCAAACTGATAAATATCATAAGTTCATTACGACTCCCTACCTTTCTAATATCAGGCTTCTAGGGGTCTATAAGAAGTCGATCCGAAAAAGTCCGTCGTCGTAGTTGAATGGTCAGCCAAGCCAAGCTTGGCATTTTATACCTGTCTGGATTTTGGCTCGGTCAAATGAACTTTCAACAATTTAAAAGACGCCAACTGTTCTACTTTGACGTGTTGACTTGTTTCCAAAAAACATTTTATAACTTTGAAAGGAGGTTGCCAATGGTAAAGTCATTGTGTACGGGTATTTGAATTAAGGTAGTTGGTCATATCCCGATGGTCAAAATAAATTATTTTTGGGTGAAACATAATACAATGTCACAAGATACTGCACTTCGGAAAATATTTAAGCGGTTGAATCCACATGGGCAGAGGCTGAGGTTGAGGTCATTACATATAAGTTCAACAAGGGTGTATTGACTTAACATGGGGATGTGCACTATTGACTAAACATCGGGATAAAATGATGTCCCAATAGTGGTCATTGGTTTGCGTTGATTATTATAAAAATAACAAAAATACAATATGACCCGAACGGACCTAAAACTAAATAATTTCACATTATAACGCAAAAAATCAAATGAATTTATTTTTTCATGGGGAAACCATAATGAAGCAAGCACTGCTTTCTGGATATCACACTTTTAATGATTTTGATGGATTTAATTTATACCCAGTAATGGTATTTTCGTTGCACATTCGCATTTAATTCGAAACATAAGAAAACAGACAGAAAATTGAAATATGTATTTTTTCGAAGACCAATTGTAGGAAATATAGTTTATGACTTAAAATTTCAAGTGTTCATAAATCAAAAAATAACTATAATTCAGTTTTGTTTATCATGCAGTCCCTTTTATATCCGCCAATCGCCCATTCCCTTACAAAGAGGATCAAATGTTTACCTTTAAGAAAAAACGAAGTTGGTGACACCAGTTTTTTTTGTTCGATTATGAAGCATTTTCATGCCATTTTGATAATAATAGGATATCCTATGCTTTTAAGGAATATCGTTTTCATCTACGAGGTGATATTGATATCTGCACGAGAGAGCAAAGCAAATGAGTGCATATATCAATATCACCGAGATGATTAAAATTATATTCTGAAAAAATCATAGGATGTTCGACTTATTATTATATTCTTACAAGGAGTGTACTAAATGTATAATATCATTGCAAAATGAATTCCATGCCAAATGGAGTCAATTTAGCGGGAAATCAACAAGCGG